GAATGAAGTCATAACTAACTAATTTTGAAATATGAGACGAGCCAGTTGGAAGTTTTGTCTTTATCTAAAAATGAAATTGTTTATTCTCCAGCTGTGACCCAGGAAAACATTCAAAGATTGTTGATTCCTTGATCTAACTCTGGTCTTTGTTCTGTGATGAAGTGCCTAAAAATAGTCATCAGTTTAGTCCATCCTGCTTCAAGGTTAGCTACCAAACAGTTCTATTAGAAAAACACAGGTGATTTGATAGCATGCCAGAAAGCTCCTTAAAGTATACAATGATAAACAAAGGGTTGTTTAGCCATGGCTGTCATGGTCCTAGCCTTGGTTTCCCCACTTGTTAAATAAAATATGACTTTACAATTAAGCTCTGAATTAAAACCTATAATGCTAAAATCTGGAGAAATAATCCTAGACTGAAGGCATGTACTACCAAGGGAATTGAAATAAGAACTCAATGTATACATTTTATCAGTGATTAATCCTAATATTATACAAAGATTTAAAAAAATGCAAAGGAGGAGCGGTAGTTTTCAGAATCACTGTTCTTTTGTTTGTAGGGGGTAATGGTAGTGAGGGTAGTAAATGTGCACTCAAATTTGAAGTTCAAGGAACTCAATACAGAAGTCTAATGTCTTCCCACCTTTCTCAGCAGATGGCTGACTGTGAGCAATTAGGCTTCTGGTCTTAAAGGAGGTATAGTGTGGCTTACTGGGTTAAGTTCTGGTTCTTTACATTGACCTCTAAGGCCTCCTTAACAGAGGAGCCCTAGTGCTGTAGTGGTTACACGTTGGGCTGCTAACCATAAGGTCAGCAGTTTGAAACCACCAGCTGCTCCACAGTAGAAAGATAAGGCGTTTTACTCTCTTGGTAACTCACAAGGGCAGTTCTACCCTGCCCTATAGGGTCACTATGATTCAGAATTGACTTGAGTGAATGAGAGCCCTCCTTCACATGGCTTCGCAATATGCCCAACCCCTCTTGTTCCCTCCCCGCCACCCCCAACCTGCCTGAGCGAGCACACATGCTTGTTCCTTGGGGCCACATGGAACTAGCCAGCACTGCTTCGGATCCTGTCTTCCTCAACCTTGCTTTTCTCCATCACTAAATAAACAAGCACTAATCTCCCATCATTCCTCCTGCGAGATATTTTCCAGATCTTTCAATGGATGATCACGTCCTATAAAGATAAGAATCTGCCTGCGCTTTTTAAAGAGTTTCCAAAGTTGCTCATTCTGAAATTTTAAAAGCCCATCAGTCAGGACATGATTCTTCATGTTTAACCTAAATATCTCAATCTGAAATCTAAAGCAATTTTCAGAAGCGATATAAACCAGCCAGCTGTCTGCATGAAAATAGTTTACATTCTTAAAAGTCATTATGTGCTCCCTGTTTTTTCCTCTCTGCCATAAATATTTTTGTTTCTAACCAATTCATCTTCATGTGATTTACCTTCTCATCTATCAATAATTTCTGCAGCTTTTCTTTGATCTAGATGCAAATTGTTGTTAAATTTAGAAGTAGCTTTAACTAGAAAGTCAGACTCAGGATTAAGCAATAGGATTCCAACGTCTAGCCCTCTTGCCAGGTTGTGTTCCTATGATAATATAGGAGGGTAACAAGATAAAGACTGCTTTTTAAATGGATGTCTTCTATAAGCACCATCATACTAGGTGCTTTATGTACATGCTTTATGCTTATTTGTTACCCCATTCTAGAAGTGTTTTACAACTGAGGCGATGGGTTTTAGCAGGTAAGTAGTTTACAATACCACGCAGCTATAGAGTGACACCTGAAATCAATTTTGTCTAATTCCAAATCCTAGGCATTTTCTACCATACTAATGACAGATTGGTCATATTACCGAGTTGATTATGACCCATAGCAGCCCCATGTGTCACTTAATAGAATTGTTCCATAAGTGTTCTGGACTGAAACCTTTCCAGAAGATTCTCTATTGCCAGGTTTTTCTTCCATAGCGCTCTGGGTGGATTAAAAGGTCCGTAGTTGAGCAAAAACTATTTGTTTTACCTAGACCAGCACAGGCCAATGTGAAATGCACAATGCTCAAGAATCACATTTCATTCCTTCAAACAATACAACATCTCTTCTGCTAATACACATCTCTTACCTGGAAAATCCTCTTGCCTGGAAAAATCCTCAAGCCTGCATCTGTCCAGTCATTATTACTTTAGACTCATTGCCTGGGAGTCTCAATCAGCACCCACGATAGCCTTTTTTGATGGAAACTCGAATCATTTACCAACACACACAGAAACATTGGATGGAAATCCAAAAGCCTTTCAAGCCTGGCTTCTAGGCCTTTCTCAAAAGGAAGAGCTAAGAACTGGTGGGTAAAAGAACAGACTTCGCAGAAGACAAAGAGAGTGAAAGCAGTCATTCCAATAGAGCACATAATCAATAAATATTTGTTAAGTAGATAGATAAGATGGCTAAATTTGTTTGAGAGAACTTGCCAAATTCTGCTCTTCATAATAATCGTCATTCATTGAACTCATTTACATTCAGAAACACACAGATTACCATTTAAGAAACTAATTTGAATGGGGATGCATAATCAGAAGTGTGTGTGTGTCTGTGTGCACGCCTAACCAAGGAACAAACGTTCAAACGAAGATGTTCCGTGGCTACTTAGTGAAATATCAAAGATGAGTATGTTTCAATGGTGGTGGACGTACACATTCTTGATGAAATACGCAGCTGTGTCTTTCTAGGTCTACCGACCCCCACCCAGCCCTTACAGAAATGCCTCTTGGTTTCATTTCCCCTGCCACAATCCCTCTGCTGTCATCATAGTGATCCGTTAGGATTATATTGGGGATATCCTATCCTAGGAATAAAATCCACGTGGGGCTAAAAAAACGTGGGAAACTTCTTATAGGATAAGCAATTCAAGTAGCACAGCTAACTGCCATTAAAAAAAAAAGAATTAGAAAGTGCACCTGCAAAAATAACATGGACACAGGGAAATATGAATTGGTGAAGTGGCTAATTAATAATCAAATAGCTCCTCAGTTCTCTTCTTGAACACATTCAAGTGCATTTACTAGTTAAAGAAGGCCACTAATTTGATTTCTTGGCGTGTTTGGATGGTTCTCACACACAGCTGAGGTAGTTTTAGTCAGTGTTATATCATCCCAAGCTAGTCATCCCTGTTTTTGTTTGACTGCTTCTCAGTCATCTTTAGCAGCTCCCTTTTCCTCTGGAACCTGATTGTCCTTACAGATGAATACCCATACAATAGATTAATAACCAAAGTGAGAAATGCCTCATGCTAGCATATTCTCCTCCACATTCTATTTCCATTGAATCATTTTCATTCCGCTTAAATTTGGTCCTTTGCAATAAGTCATGGCCTGTCACTCTTTGACAATCCCTTTTGTTTTTCAAACTCCAGACACAAATATATTGTGTCCCACAAAATAAATTATTTGCATTCTTTCTTGTTTTCTTACTCAATTTTGAATGGATGGTTCCATGTTCTTCTGAACGCTATTGTAAATCTTCTAAAAGTAGGCACTTGTTCTCCGATTTACCTTTATTAACCACATAATTTTGGTTACTGTGGAAAACTCAGGGAGAGCTCTATAAGTGCTTATTGATTGGACAAGATATAAGAGATTCATTGACCTCCTTTCTAAGCCATCTACCTGCCCTGAAGCACAACTCATGCAACGCTGATTGAGGTAATTAGTTTATTGTGCCAGCCTGGCCGATAAACACATGTGGGATTAATTGAAGGGTGGAGCGATAAATGGCTTGGCAAGCCTTACCTTTCTTGTCTCTTGCTCATCGATCATCCGACCAGTGTGCGGCTGCCTTGCTGTTCTATCAGACTTTTCTAAAAAAAATTTGTCTTTTTTAAGCTTTGGAAATAAAGAGAAAGGAAGCACGGGTTCACAACAGTAGAGTGACATACCAACCAACACATAACTAGTCAGAAGTTCACCTGGAATTAGGACTCTTTGGTTTCTGGAATCCTTTATTTTAACTACTGTCTCTCAAGGCAAAGGTGAGCCAGAAAATGGTATTAAAATAGCTTGGAAAGTAAACACTAAGAAGAGGAGTTTTAAAAACACAACTCGCTGACATCAAGTTGAGTGTGATTCACAGTGACCTATAGGAAAGAGTAGCACTGCCCCTGTGGGTTTCCAGGGCTATACATTTGTGTGGGAGCAGAAAGCCTCCATTTTCTTCTGCAGAGTGGCAGAGAGTTTCAAACTACAGGCCATTTGGTTAGAAACCCAAGCTCTATGTTCCCAGGAGGTAGGCATTATGAAACACTAATTTGGCCTCTATTCTTCATATCATCATATTGAGTCACTCGAGTGCTGGGCTAGTGAATACTGGAAGCATAAATGAAACTATGCATGACTCCTAGCTGATGCTTGCACTTGAATCGTCATTTTCACGTGAGCCCTGGCAGTGGTGTTGGCTAAGCTTTTAGACTGCATAGCTAAGGGCCAGCAGTTCAAACATCCCAGCCTCTCTAAAGCAGACTGACCACCCAGTATGCTCTCATTAAGATGTACAGCCTGGAAACCCCCATATACCTCATTATTATTTGGAATCAATGCAATAGCAATGTGTTCAGTTTGGGGAGGAGTTGAAATGGACCCAGTGGCCGTGAGCTTGGGTTTGGTTGGGCTGTGTTATTTATCGATTTCTGTACGAAAGGAAAAAAAATTCAAATTCTATTATCTACTTCATTGCCCAGAGCTATAGTTAAGATTAAAATCCAAATCTCTTGTATTTCAAATCCTACTTTGATGTCTACACAGATTCCTGAAGGTGGGCAGTGAGTGAAATAGTTCCTGTACGAAAGCAACATTCCTTTCGAGTCCATTTCCTATCACTCTAGTGAGTCTATCTCAAGTCTCAAACGCAGGAGGTGTAAAACCAAAATTCACTTGGCCTCGCAGACATTCAATAGCTAGATGGAGTAGCATATACTAACAAGTTTACTTTCCTTTGTTTAGGAAAGATCATTTCTTCAAGAAGATACAGAACGTTTGTTTTGGACTCGACTCTGTGCTTCCAACCCCCTAATTTCAACCTGAGAGTGAAGAACCCTAAGACCCCACCATCACCCAGCCAAACCTTCCTCAGCCATGGGGGCCACAGCTCGGCTGTTGGCGGGCATCGTCGTTGCTTTGCTTGCTCTCTCTGCCAAAGGTGGGGTCCTCAAGAAAGTCATCCGGCACAAACGACAAAGTGGCGTGAATGTCACCTTGCCAGAAGAGAGCCAACCAGTGGTGTTTAACCATGTCTACAACATCAAGCTGCCTATGGGGTCCCAGTGTTCAGTGGATCTGGAATCAGCCAGCGGGGAGAAGGACGTGGCCCCACAGTCAGAGCCCAGGGAAGGCTTCCAGGAACATACAGTGGACGGGGAGAATCAGATCGTCTTCACACATCGTATCAACATCCCCCGCCGGGCCTGTGGCTGTGCTGCTGCCCCTGACATCCAGGAGCTCCTGAGCAGGCTGGAGGAGTTGGAGACGGTGGTCTCTGCCCTGCGGGAGCAGTGTACCATGGGAGCAAGCTGCTGTCTTCAAACTGCAGAAGGTATGAATTACTAGAGATGAGAGAAATGCCAAGCACGGTAGGACCCACCATTTGTTTCCAAATTGGTTTTCTAGAAAAGCTGTCTTACAAAGGATTCACTATAAAGAGCTGTTCTGGGCAGGTGGGTGAGGGAACATATTTATCTCTAGCCTGCTCTTAGGGAACCGTGGTGACAAATGACTTCATAGGGATTTTCAGGCCTCTGGAAAGTCCTGCTTTGAGCAATTCTGTTTGACTCTAATTAAAAGTTTCTCAGATTCATTTTAAGATGAACTTTTCTTGACCCCCAAACCTAAACATATCTCAGGACATCCCTGATCCAAAGAGTGCACTTAGAGAGGTCGTGATGTAGCCCAATCCCATCATTTGTACACACAGGGAAACTAAGGCCTAGAAGGAGGATGAGCTTGTTCAAGGTTCTCCAATGAGTTGTTGAGTTAGTAAGCCACAGAGTTCTACGCTCCAATTCATGTCCTTACAAATTTATAATTGCTGTCCGTGGTGGAACAAATTCTGTGGTGTATGGGGGAAAAAAAAGTTCAAGTTTAATGGTGACCATAATCACAAACATGAATTGAGCCCCTTCTAGATATATACCAGATGGAGTTCCTGGATGATACAAATGGTCAATGCACTCAGCTGCTAACCAAATGGAGGTTCAAGTCCACCCCTCCCCCCAAAAGACAAAAAAATCCAAACTCACTTCCATCGAGTCGAGGCTAACTCATAGCAAGCCTATAAGACAGGGTAGAACTGACCCGCTGGATATCAGAGACTGTAACCTTCCACGGGAGTAAAAAGTCCTGTCTTGGTCCCACGGAGCTGCTGGTGCTTTCAAACTGCTGACCTTGCAGTCAGCAGCCCAATGCATAACCGCTATGCACCAGAGCTCCACTGCAGCCAAGTCCACCAAGTACCGTCAATGAAATGACTGACATCTACGTCTGAAGGCCTAAGGAGCACAGTACTCTGCTGATTGACACACGGGGCGTTGCCATAAGTCAGATGCCGTGGCACCCGGTTACTGCTAGGCACCAGCCATTGCCATTTGTTATCCAATTTAACCCTCCTGGCAACTCTTGGAGGAAGGTTTGTGCAAATCTAAGAATCCAGATTCCAAAAAGTTAAGCAACTGACACAAGATGTGCCAAAGAATGCTACTAGGTGATGCAGAAAGTGTCTGTGGGTCTCAGCACTCACACTCTCTCCGCAATCATATCCTGCCCCATCTGCACTCATCTGAGGGAACCATCCACTCCGGAACTACGCTGTCACCCCCCTGTTCCTGAAAGTGGCTAGAGAGTCAAGTCATTTCAACAGATTTGAATCTGAAATGACTATTTCTCTTTCTGCCATACTCAGAAAAAAGCATCAGGAAGTCCTTTGACAAATTATTTTTAAGAGTAGACCTAATCACCTAAAGTGGAGCGTACTATCACACGTGATCAAGGTCCCTCTCTCTCTGTCTCTGTCCCTCCCTTTTTAAGATGAATGTGTTTGTCACTAAAGGCTTGTTTGTCAAGGTCTCTAATCCAAAAAGAGAGAGAAGGGAGGGAGGGAGGGAAGAAAGAGAGAGAAAAGGAGGAAAGCAAGAAAGTCTTGATTCAGAAAGCGTTTTATCTTTCATTTCTATTAGCTCGGGAGCAAAATACAGATGGAAGTTCACAGTATTAATAATGCTGAAGAACAGGTAGAACTTATTTTTAGAGCAGTGGTACCCATACAAATATAACAAAAATCACATACGTATATAATCTCAGAATTTCCAGTACTCACATTTTTTAAAGGGACACAAGAAGACAAAATGCTTTTAGTCATCGGTTTAGCTTAACTCAGCATAATCAAAATGTAAACTTTCTCACCATGGACTCGATATAAAGAGTTTTAATGGGATAGCTTACATTTTTCTTTCTTTGATACTAAAGCTTTGCAATCCAACATGTGCTTTGCATTTATAGCACAACTCAAATGGAACTGGCCATGGTTCAAGGGCTTAATAGCCATGTGTGTCCAGTGGCTACCAGACGGGACTGCGCCGACCTCAATTCTAACTTTCCAAGCAAAGATTCCTCTTTAACATCCTTCCTTCCTGCTCTTCAGAAGGAAATAGATGCTATGGATCACCACTATACCCAGGAGCAGGGAAGCTGGAGGTCAACTTTGTTTCTTCTCCTGGTTCCACGAAGATCAGACCAGCGGCCACTGAGAAGTGACAGGATAAGATTTAGGCTCATAAAGCCGGGTCATCCAGCCCCGACCTCCACTCATCAGTTCACCCTATGCTGCTGCATTCGGGATAGAACAGGGAGGAGAGATAAAGCCACACGTGCTGTCTGTGGGTAGGGCCAGATGAAAAGGCGCTCTGTCGGAATTACAAAGCCGATCCTTAGCTGCCTCATTTTAGTTATGGAAAATTAGAACCTTTTGCACACGCAACCCCCATGCAAACTTGAGTCAACTCTCCTGAAAGAAAGAAAGAAAGAAAGAAAGAAAGAAAGAAAGAAAGAAAGAAAGAAAGAGGCACAATAATAGGCTTTGAATGTCTTCCGTGAACTCTCATTTCTCCGGTGAGGTGGGATTATTGGCCCTCCTTTACCAAGGAGGACCCTGAGTGCCAGGCCATTTAAAGCCTTGGTCATAGATGGTCCAGCTTGTGGGTCAAAAGGTCAGAATTTAGTTCATTTCAACGAGTGCTTGGGTATCGGGGAAGGAGCATGGTAAGTATGTCCCCTCAGTAGGAATGGTGACTCAAATTCCTCTGGGCTCAGGGTACCTCCTTGGAAATCTGATTAAGATTTAAAACTACAGATCTTCACACACACACACACACACACACACACACACACACACACATTCTTTGCCCACAGGTTTACAATTTCAGGGAGTCCAGGGACCACTTGATGTTCCAGGTTAAGAATTCTTACTTGGTGTCATCTGAAAGTTTGTGGCGCTGGTGCACTCGGAGGGACCTTGGAAGAAAGGCCTGGTCAGGATAGTTCAGCCGCTGATAGCCCATTGCACCAGTTCTGTTCTGATACCTTTGGGGCTGCCATGAGTCAAAATCAACTCCACAGCCACTGCTGCTGCAGCTGCAGCTAGTGACAAAGACGGTAGTGCTGATGGCGCTGGTGGTAACTGGATATGAGTCCCCTCTGTCATCACACACTGAGCAGCTGGTTTTCAGGCCAGGTGGGCTCTGGGAATGCCCCCATCCTCTAGCTGTTTTTGAGCCTGCCTTTGTCTGCTAGTTATCGAGCTATCCGGCCACTCGTGCTCCACTGAACCCATCTGTTCTCTTGGTTGGCAGGCCGCCTGGACACCACGCCCTTCTGTAGTGGCCACGGAAACTTCAGCACCGAAGGATGTGGCTGTGTGTGTGAGGCTGGCTGGAAGGGGCCCAACTGCTCGGAGCCTGAGTGTCCAGGCCACTGTCACCTGCAAGGCCAGTGCATAGACGGGCAGTGCATCTGTGACGAGGGCTTCACCGGTGAGGACTGCAGCCAGCTGGCCTGTCCCAGCGACTGCAATGACCAGGGCAAGTGTGTGGACGGCATCTGCGTCTGTTTCGAAGGCTACGCTGGGGCCGACTGTAGCCAGGAGGTCTGCCCGGTGCCCTGCAGCAAGGAGCACGGCAGCTGCGTGGACGGGCGCTGCGTGTGCCAGGACGGCTTTGCGGGCCACGACTGCAACGAGCCGCTGTGCCTCCACAACTGTCACAACCGCGGGCGGTGCGTGGAGAACGAGTGTGTGTGCGACGAGGGCTTCACGGGCGACGACTGCGGGGAGCTCATCTGCCCCAACGACTGCTTCGACCGCGGCCGCTGCGTCAACGGCACCTGCTACTGCGAAGAGGGCTTCACGGGCGAGGACTGCGGGGAGCTCACCTGTCCCCGCGCCTGCCATGGCCAGGGCCGCTGCGAGCAGGGCCAGTGCGTGTGCGACGAGGGCTTCGCGGGCCCCGACTGCAGCGAGAAGAGGTGCCCCGCAGACTGCCACCACCATGGCCGCTGCCTCGACGGCCGCTGCGAGTGCGACGATGGCTTCGAGGGGCCTGACTGCGGAGAGATCAGGTGTCCCAATGGCTGCCACCGCCAGGGCCGCTGTGTCAATGGGCAGTGCGTGTGCGACGAGGGCTACACCGGGGAGGACTGCAGCCAGCAGCGCTGTCCCAACGACTGCCACCGCCGGGGCCGCTGCGTGCAGGGCAAGTGTGTGTGCCAGTCAGGCTTCCAGGGCTACGACTGCAGCGAGATGAGTTGTCCCAATGACTGTCACCAGCACGGGCACTGCGTGAACGGCATGTGTGTGTGCGACGAGGGCTACATGGGCGAGGACTGCCGGGACCTGCGGTGCCCCAAGGACTGCAGCCACCGGGGCCGCTGCGTGGACGGCCAGTGTGTGTGCGAAGACGGCTTCGCTGGCCCCGACTGCGCCGAGCTCTCGTGCCCCAGTGACTGCCACCGGCAGGGCCGCTGCGTGAACGGGCAGTGCGTGTGCCACGAAGGCTTCATGGGCAAGGACTGTCGGGAGCGAAGGTGCCCGGGGGACTGCAGCGGCCAAGGCCGCTGTGTGGACGGCCAGTGCGTCTGCCACGAGGGCTTCACGGGCCTGGACTGTGGGCAGCGTTCCTGCCCCAGTGACTGCCACGGCTGGGGACAGTGTGTTCTCGGCCGCTGCATCTGCAACGAAGGCCACGCTGGCGCAGACTGCTCAGAGGGTGAGTACGAACAAGCCCTCGAGCTAGTGTGAAGCCCTGGGTGTTGGAGAGCTGTGTGCCACACTGCACAAGCTCACACCCACCCACCTAGGCACACACACATAGAGAGACACACACTGATGCTTGGAGGCGTCAGACTGGTCAGCCACCTGTTACAAATCAGGGTTGTTGGGCTTCCCCGAAATGAACTAACCCACTACCACAGAGCCAAGTCCCACTCGTGGCCACCCTAGGAACCCGCTGTTCCTTCTCAGGCTTACAGAGGCTATGTAAGTGTCTCTGGGACACTGGCTAACACATCGCATTGCTGGCTAACTTGTCCAAAAGGAGCAGGGGAGGGGGTGGGGGGGTGAACAGGCTGCTAACTTCAAGGACAACAGTTGAAAACTACCAGGCGATCCACAGGAGAAAGATGAGGCGTTCTACTCCGGTAAAGAGTTACAGTCTCAGAAACTCACAGGGGCAGTTCTACCCTGCCCCACAGAGTGGCTATGGGTCAGAATGAACTCGAGGGCAATGAGTTACTTGCTTACTGGACTGCAGTGGATTAAGGTGTGCTAGTGGCACTGTGGATTGGTGTTGGACTTCTAACCATAAGATTAGTGGTTCATACTAGTACAGATAGGAACTAAAAATAAGGGAATCCAGGGCGGATGAGCCCTACAGGACCAGTGGTGTGAGTGGCGAAACAGGGAGGGTAGAGGGAGAGTAGGTAGGAAAGAGGGAACTATATGTGACCTCCTCCCTAGGGGACAGACAACAGAAAAGTGGGTGAAGGGAGACATCGGACAGGGAAAGATATGACAAAATAACAATTTATAAACTATCAAAGGCTCATGAGGGAGGGGGGAGCAGGGAGGGAGAAGAAAAATGAGGACCTAATGCCAGGGGTTTAAGTGGAGAGGAAATGTTTTGAGAATGATGAGGGCAATGAATGTACAAATGCGCTTTACACATTGGTGTATGTATGGATTGTGATAAGAGTTGTATGAGCCCCTAATAAAATGATTAAAAGGAAAAAAAAGAGTAGTGGTTCAAACCCAGTAGTCACTCCATGGGAGCAAGATGAGGTTGTCTGTTCCAGTAAAGATTTATGGTCTCAAAACCCCTAAGGAACAGTTCTATTCTGTCCTATAGATTCACTGTGAGTCAGACTCAACTTGATGGCAGCGACTTGAGGTGGTTGTTTTGTTTTGTTTGGGCAATCTAACTACAGTGAGTTCAAACTTCAGTGCCGACAATGGGGTCTATGAAATGATAACCTCTCTATGCTTAGCCTTCTTTCTTCCCATCCAAGCCTGAGAAGAGAGCAGACTTTCATTCTGGATAGAAACAATCATTTATCTAAATTGCACTGGAGAGTAACATTGTGTAAGGCAGAAACTCTTTGAAATGCCCACTCAGTTAAAGAGCGAATGCTGATTGCCTTCGAGGAGGATTTGCCTCTTAAACCTCTTATCAGTACATTTTTTTTCAAAACCATTTTATTTGGAGCTAATACAGATATCATGTCCTTCCATAATTCAATCACAAGCAGTATTGTCAATAGTTACCACAATCAATTTTAAACATTCTTTTCCTTCTTGAACTCTTTCACATCAGCCACCCCCCTACCACTGTACCCCCAGAAACCCTTATTTTATTTGCTGCCCATATAGGTTCATTAATCCTGGATTTTTATACTGAAAAACAGAAAAATATATAACAAAAATTCAAGAGGGTCACTCCCAATGACAAAACACATCTGAGATAAGCCCAAATGTGACTGAACAAACAAATAAAACAAAAAACAAACAAATACAGAAAATGTTGAAAACCATATTAGGCCAACATGCATGAGGGTTGGGTGAGAATCAACTGACAAAGTTTTAGCCATTCAAATCAGGTTTATCCTTTTGATCTGCTATAGCCATGTAACTAGTTTATTCCCATCCCTGCTTTAATGGATAGAGGCAGTTCCTGGGAAGCTTTTTCCAATGTAGATACCACAGATGCATCTTGGGCTCCATTGTCATCCATAGCCTTCTGCAAATCAGATTCTCACACTTCAGGCTCTGATACTAATTCCACCTTTGGCTTCAGATTATATGATTTACAGTTCTTCAGTCACTGCAGTTGTGTTTCTTCCATGTGGCCTTAGTTAACTTAGATGGCTGCTTTTTTTGAAACAAGACCTTTAAAGGCCTCAGATGCTGATAGCTGGGCACCATCGAATTTCTTTACCACACTTTGCGATAGCACCCCTGTCTTCTGTGGTCCCTTCCTGAGGGCGAGTATCAAGTAGGGCCATGATGTAAGAACTAATTTTTACATGTTCTTGCCTATTCTTACGTCTATGTATGACCCTTTGGGTTCCTGTAGAGACCTCCTCATTAATTTATGGTAGAGAGTCTCTCAGTACTTTTATTTATCCCAAGGACTGTTTGCTCTTCAAAGGAGTACTACCTCCAGCGGTCACTACAGGGTGTGTCTTATAGTAAGTGCTTTGTAATCATTGGTTGGATGAAAACACAATGAGAATAGTAACGGTAGAGCCATCCTTACACAGTTTCCGTCTACCTAAATATGCAGTTATTGTGATTGAGAATTTCTACCTGAATTAAAGTGATTGGTCTGCAGGAATCAAAAAGGGCCCTGTGTTTAATGCAGCACCCTACATTGGTTGGAAAGAACAGAGGTTGGCAGGCGGTAGAAAGTCAATTCCAAATTTGATGAGGTAAGTGACCTTGGCACTTTTGCCTCATTGATCTTCTATGTCAAAGATGAAAGGGTTGGACCGGGATACATTCCCCGTGCTAAGGACAAAGGGCGTGACATCCAGAGCAGGGGACCAAGACCAGGCCCTTCTGTCCCATGGCAGCCACCCTAATTTGAACTAAAACTCGTGGAGGGGAGACCGAAGAGAAGTAGCCAGGTCACAAAAAACAGGGCATGCCAACTACTGACCAGAAGGCAATGGGTACCCACTGCGGTTGTTTAAGCTTGTGACAGCAGAGGATTCTTGATGAGTTCTGCATTTCAGAAAATGAAAGTTGGGCTTCAGGACCGGATCCTCAGTTCTTTGTCACAGGCAGTGGAAAGGACAGGTGTCGAAAAGCAAACACCGAAAGACTCCTATGATACATTATTGACTGAGATAGCCCTTCTTATTCCTACCAGTGTCCCCTCCCAAAGACCTCATTGTGACTGAAGTAACGGAAGAGACGGTAAACCTGGCCTGGGACAATGAGATGCGGGTCACGGAGTACCTGGTTGTGTACACGCCCACCCATACCGGAGGCCTGGAAATGCAGTTCCGAGTCCCCGGGGACCAGACGTCCACCACCATCCGAGAGTTGGAGCCTGGTGTAGAGTACTTCATCCGGGTGTTTGCCATCCTGGAGAATAAGAGGAGCATTCCTGTCAGTGCCAGAGTGGCCACGTGTGAGTGAGCAGACCACTCTCCCCCAGCTGCCACTACCTTTCCCTCTCTCATCATACCGTATTCTCAGGAGTCGGCCTCTTGCTTTTGCCACACATACTTCTAGCTGCTGCTCTCAAATCACGTCAATTAAGGAGATCCTGGAATCCAGGTGGCGTGTACTGGAGAGTCAAGTCTGAAATTCTGACTCATGAAGACCCTGTAGGGCACAGTAGAACTGCCCCACAGGGGTCTTAAGACCCCAAGGTCATTTCACCCTCAGGCTGCCTGGTGGATTTGAATTCCAACCTCTAGGTTAGCAGCAAATTGCTAACCCCTAGGACGCCTCAAAATCCACGTTAGCACATTGAATATCTTCCAAGATCCACCTTACTTTCCATAAAGCAAACAACAAGAACGAAATCCTCCTTCTTTTTCCCCACGTCCCTCTCTCTCAACCTCATTGCCATGAAGTCAAGGGCACTCAGCGACCCCTCACCATAGAGAAGGTTTGCTGCTATCACTGAGCAAGTGTTCACTATGCAGTAAGTGGGGCTTCAGGCAATTTCTAGTTGTCAGCGCATTTAATCTTCACAACAGTCCTAGGAGTTCAGTAATATTGTTAAACCCCGCCCCCTTACACATTAGATTAAGAGCGGTTTGGCTCCAATCCACAAACTTGATGAGATTTGAGCCAGGCTATCTGGATGCAGAGTTCATTCTCTTCCCACTGGACTCCAGGACTTTCTCCGTGGCAAAAACTAGAAAACCAAAAACCCACCAAAGACAAGAATGAAACTCACTCCCACCACATCAATGCTGACTCACAGAGACCCTGTATAGCCCACTGTCTATTAATTAAAAATAAATAAGTAAAAAATGGAATTGCAAGGGTTTAAGTTATTCCTCTAAGAGCCTGACATTAGTATAATTTATAATTACTTTCACACCTGAAAAGCAAGCTGTGGCTGAAATTGACTGAGTGATCATAGTAGTGGCTACCATTGATTGAACTTATGCTCAGATGCCAGAAGCCATGGCAGAATCTTGCACGTATTATTTTACTTCATCCGCAAAACATCTGTGAGAGGCAGGCATATATACCTTCTTCCCAAAGGAGGAGAAAACAAATTAGATGAATTGTGTGCAATTTCTCCATGTTCACAAAGCGAGTAGTGGGGGCGCATAGCTTAGAGCTCAAACTGATCCCAAAGCCCAGGCTCTGACTAGGTTACACAAAACTAAATTGTCAATATGAAATTATATAGCCGGAGTCCCTGGGTACTGTAAATGTTGAATCACTCTGCTCCCAGCTAAAAGGTTGGCCATTGAAACCCACCTAGGGCACCTTGGAAGAAGTTTATGTGCACACCTGGGTTTGTCATGCGTCAGAATCAACTTGATGGTTAGTGTTTGATCCTGGTGAATAATCATATGGCTTGTCTCACTAGTAGCTTTCAGGCCTCTTCCAAGTAGACCGCTCCCCTCAGAAGAACCCTCCAATAGATTCCTCAGACAGTTCCAGGTCCTGAGGGAGGCATCCGCTTTGGGATTTAGTGAAGGGGCTGTGGTGCCCCATCACACCTCGGCTCCACCCTTACTTCCGACTTGTTTTGTTCTTGATAGACTTGCCTACTCCTGAAGGCCTCAGATTCAAATCCGTCAAGGAGACGTCTGTGGAAGTAGAGTGGGACCCTCTGGACATAGCTTTCGAAACCTGGGAGATTATCTTCCGAAACATGGTAAGGAATAGGCCAAAGTTCACGAGTATTTGGCCACAAGAATCTGGAAGATGTTCAAAGTGGCTCTGCAGAAATTTTAAGTCAACTTTTTTTCTCTACATCAGGTGGAGAACAAAGCCCTAAAATTTCACGTCTTTGTGCATGTGTGGATATGGGAAAATTCTATTATCTTTCACTCCCTGTGTCTCTGAACTTTGTGAAGCCCTCTTGTGTATTTTAAGTATGTTGGGCTTCTCCTGATTTTAGTAAGTTGATAAATACAGTGTTTAGGGCTAAGAGATTCTCACCGAAGCAAAGAAGAGAATAATTAGTTGCGGTCTTAAAATTCCTCATGGCATATCTCAGATGGAGCATCCCTTCTCTCTGAAATGCATCGGCAACTGAGTTTCTGAATGCGAGTCTGGGACGGTCACAGTCATGTGACATGGGAGCACCGTGTGACTTCTCTGATGCTGCTCACTTCATTTATCAAGGGAGGGGCTCAACTTGCAGCTTCAGAAAGTCTCCAGCTCTCACGTTCAGTCATGTGCCCTGCGTATCAGAGAGGTGAATAGAGTTTCACCAGGGAGAGGACAGACTGGAGGGACGTCATCAGTATCCCTGTCTCCTCAGCACCTCCGCCACTGATCAGATGCATTCTATGGGTGAATGGAAGAAAGAATACCTGAGGAATGAATGATTACTCCACAAACAACCCCCATCAGCAAAGAGGCTGGCACTTTCTGTAGGTCTTACCAAGCTGTCCCTGTCTTTCAGAATAAAGAAGATGAGGGAGAGATCTCAAGAAGCCTGAGGAGGCCGGAGACCACATACCAGCAAACTGGCCTGGCTCCCGGGCAAGAGTATGAGATATCACTGCACATCGTGAAAAACAACACACGGGGCCCAGGCCTAAAGAGAGTGACAACCACCCGTGAGTATCACTTTAATGCCCTGATGTAATGAGAAGACTAACAGAAACTCACAGCACCTTCTGGTTGTTAACGCACCCACTGATATCCCATCTGTATCAATCCGTTTGGGCTGAGTAACAAGCCCAAGCTTAGTGACATAAAAGAACAATTTCCCCAGTTGGCGCTCTGGGGCTGGACTCCATGAGAAATGTTGCTGGTCTCGATTGGGCTCACTCGGGCAGCTGTGCCACTTGGAGTGCTGGCCTAGGTTGGCCTCACCCAGGTGGTGTCTTGTGCCTCCATGTAATCGCCAAAGTTCCAGCGAGCTAGCTGGAGTCTGACAGCTAAGCAGATGGACCCAACGAACAGGGATAAGTAGGCGAGGTCTCTGAAGACCTGGGCTCCAGGCTGGCACTGTTTCAATTGCTCCATTGTATTGATCAAAGTAACTTCCGGGGCCGGTTCATACCTATGGGAAGGGCAAACACATCCATCTCTTAATAAGACGAGCTTCACAGAAACTTCTCAAAGGAGTAAAGCAAAACGAGGAAAGTAATTGAGACTATCGCAAGCAATTTACTACATTGCCTAATTGAATTGTAGCAACAGTCTTATGCAAGAGGCAGGGGAAATACTAATGTCATTATTTTTCAAGAGTAGAAACTGAGTCTTAGGTGAGTTAAATCAATGTTGCTAACATCCCAGGCCCAAGAGTGTTAGAACCACAGCTTTAAGCCAAGGATTGGCTTCAAACCTTAACCTCATTATGACTCCCATCATTTAGGCTCTGATTTATTCTGTGTTTTCAACAGGAACCTAAATAAAGTTTTATTCAGTACTAAGCACTTCTTGGAGATAGAAAGGGTTTGACATTGCTCAATCATTTGTGGGAAAAGAGGGATCTGAACTGGAAGTTGTTCTACCAGGAAACAGAGTTTTAGAATTGTTCATTGCCATGTCATGAGTCCGCTTTTAAATCTTCAAGACAGCATGTGTACCTACAGTTTAAGGAATGAAGTCGTCTTGGCAGGAGGTTGCTGGAAAAGTTCAATCTGTTGACTAATGACAAGAAACCACATCTTTCATTTAAATATTTGCACCTTTTGCCTAGCCCAGAGCCAATTCATAGGATTGTCTCCTTAAAAAGAAGTGTTTTCCATCACACTGACAACATTGCTCTGTGGTAGGTAGGAGGCAGGTAGTAACAGGAAAAAGCCATTAGGTCACCAGAAAGGCATGAGAGGGATCTTCCAAGTGCGTCTTTGCCATGGAGAAGGGACCCTGAAAACACAAGAGACGTTTCTTTCTTCTTCCCCTTTGCTTCTTGCTCCGGCATTTGGGGAGTGGCTGCTTTATTGACTTCTTACTGCATGACAAACATCCACTTCTAGAAGTTGCAGAATCACATAAATACCAACTTTGAGGGAAGTTGTGTCTTTTGTTGCTACACGAGAAAGTATTTCACATTTACTTTGGAGAGATAGACTTTCCAAATCAAAAATAACGTCTGCTTCTTCCGGCTGGCATCTGTACCGAGGGGGTATTATACCCATGTTGGAAACCTGGGTGATTTTAGGAGGCATCATTATGTCGAGAAGGAAAAGCCAGGCCTTTGGATTCAAACAGCTATGAGTTTGAATTCCAGCTTCATCTCTCACCATCAGCTTCAGCAAGTTCTTTTCTTTGCACCTCAGATGCAATATCTGGGAAGTAAATTTACAGTATCTTCCTTGTGAGGTTGTCAGGAGGACAGAGCCCATTGCCATAGAGCTGCCCCACAGGGGATCCAAGGGTGTGACCCTTACAGAAGCCAGCTGCTACTTCTGTCATGTGGACTGGCTCCTGGGTCCAAACCAGCAACCTTTCGGTTAACAACTGAGTGTTTTAACCACTGTGCTGCTTCCACATATGAGAAGGCATCCTACTTGGCACATGATAAGCACAAGGTCAATGTCCTCTCTGTGCAAGGTCCCAAATTCAGTAGGATCAGTTTTGTTGTTGTTGTTGTTTGACTGACTTTCAAATCAAGTGACAGGGCTGCTAAGGAAAGTACTCTGAGTTGGATGTTTGTTGGCAGCTATCCGAACATAGAGCAGATGATGGCACCGTTGATTCGAAGCATATATTTCACTGCACATTTTAGGGGTTCATCTTCCATGTGCTGGGGCTGTGATGTCAACATCTAGACTTCAGAAGACAGACTCAGTAGCTTTCCCATAATCAGTCATGGAATATCCCTTCTCCTTAGTCCCTGAATAAAACAAAGTTTGTTTCATCAGACTCTTTATTCAACCAGTGCTGAAAAAACAGACTTAATCATCTTTTTTTTAATGAGAAACTTTGGCTGAATGACTGGTGTATACTTAGCTATAATAGGGATTAAGAAAAGATTAAAACTCATACCATGATTAAATGAATGAATGATCTCCTTTAAGTTAATACAAACTTTAGACAAATATTTTAAGGAACAATGAGAAATGTACCATGTTAGAATTCTCTTTCAGAATAATAGCAACCACAAGAAGGGAGTGTGTGTTTACTTGATTACTGCAGTCAAAGAAGGGTTCTTGTAGCAGGTAACATCATTGAGATTAAAAAAAACCCATTTAATTGTTAATTAGGTATAAGTTTACAGTGCAGATCATCAGTCTTACATTCAATAGTTCATACATATGTTGTTTCAACTCATCCATTGCAACCCCTTCAATGTCCCATCACTTATTGCACTTTCTCCCTGTGTTCCTGTATATATATATATATATATATATATACACACACACACATAAATATGTATATGTATATACATAAATATGTACATGTATATACATACACACACACAAATATATGTGTGTGTGTATGGGATGACATGTCCAGCAAAATATATATATATATTTATACATATATTCCCTCAAACCTAAATAATGGTATGCGTGGCTTAAAACAATTAAAAAGCAGGAAAAGTAAAATTGAAATGGATCTCTGGGGTCCTTTGCGGCAAACAAGTTCATCTCAAACAAACAGAGAAAAATCGCAGGCAAGACGGTGACAAGCCCACAAAAAAGGAAAGTTGTGTCGTCGAGATGACTTCTTGTCTACATTCTCACTCAAAAACAAGGTTCTACAACACACATTGGGATACTCGCTGCCTCTCGCTTCTCAACTATGATTCTGATGATATACTGGGGAAGCAACCAATAATTCAGGGAGTTTTGTCTAATTAAAAACTAAAGAGACCAGATCAAAAGGTTCAAGTGAATTGACCCCTAACTAGTTATCTTCAACTGATGAAATAGGAATAATAATGACCACAAAGCAATGACCATGTTATACAATTGTCACGTGCCATGGATCTTGCTAGATGCTTCACAATCATTATCGCCTTTCATACTTGAAAAAACAAAAACTCCTGAGAGGTGGCTATTATTATCCCATGCATACCTTAGTGAATAGAAAACTGAGGTCCCGAGGGGTAAAATAAGGTCCAGTGGTCAGTAGACAACACCAAAATGTTAAAATGTACTTCCAGGGGACTAAATGTCTTCAATGCCCTTTCTGGTCAGCCACTGACACTGGTCCCCTCTTCCTGTCACAGGCTTGGACGCCCCGAGCCAAATCGAGGTGAAAGACATCACAGACAACACGGCTCTGGTCACCTGGTTCAAGCCCCTGGCTGAAATTGATGGCATTGAGCTCTCCTATGGAATCAAAGATGTGCCGGGTGACCGCACCACCATTGACCTCACACCTGATGAGAACCAGTTCTCCATTGGGAAGCTGAAGCCAGACACTGAGTATGAGGTGTCCCTCACTTCCCGCAGGGGTGACATGACCAGCAATCCGGCCACAGAGACCTTTACAACAGGTAAGAATTACATGAGCAAAAGGATGGCAAGATTCCCATGCCACTCTGTGTTGGGATATATATTAGTTAGGGTTCCAAAGAAATAGAACTAATTGGAGTTATGGGTATATATACAAGAACACATTTATAGATTAGAGATCCCATTTCAAACAGGGATACATGTATAGGTACAGATACAGACAAATGTAAAAAGATTTATTTTACACAAGTGTGGAATCTAGCAATTCTGAGATCCATGGGGCAAGACAGCAAACTAGAAACTCGGGCTGAAGTCGATGTTGCCTTCTGAGTCTAAAATTATTAGAACAGGCCAATAAGCGGGGACTCAAACTCTCAAATTCACTGCCATCAAGTTGACACCGACTCATAGTGAGCCTAGGGGACAGGATAGAATTGCCCCTATGAGTTTCCAAGATTATTTATTGGAGTAGAAAACCCTGTCTTTCTCCCACAGGGCAACTGGTGGTTTTGAACTGCTGACCTTGTGGATCTAAGCCCAAAGCAGGGCTCCCCCACAAGCTGGGAACTTGGCTAGAATTTGATATTATACTACTGAGGCATAATCTCTTCTCTAGGAAACCTTACTTTTTGTTCATAAGGTCTCCAACTCATTGAATGAATTGCATATCTAAAGTAAACTTCATTAAAGCTAACCACATCAACAATATTCCATAGCAATGCCTAGGCTACTATTTGATAAAGTAACTGTCAACTTAGCCCAACCAAGTGGATGCTTAGACCAACCATCACAGATGATGTCCCAGATAATTTTAAAGGAGGAGAATGGCAAATAGGGATTTTCATTTGAGAAGCTGATACCAAGGGCTCAAGTAGAAAGAAAATGTTTTTAAAATGATGGTGGCAACAAATGTACAAATGTGCTTAACACAATGGATGGATGCATGGATGGATGGATTGTGATAAGAGTTGTATGAGCCCCCAATAAAAAATTATTTTAAAAAACAAAACAAAAGAGAAAATTTTTTCAAACAGAAAGTAAAGCAAGTAATCTTCCAAAGAATACATCCATTCCTCACTTATTGACATGGTTATGTTCCAAAGACCAAGTCACTAAGAAAAACCTGGCATTAAGTGAAAATGGAGGATGATCACATCAGATGACAAAATGACGGATGATCACACTAGTACATAACTACCACATTACTAAATCACCAAGAAACATGGTCCAGCACAGTTAACTGTTCTTAACTATTCCAGTGTTACTCTGACAGCACACAAAATAGTTGGACAGTAGATTTTCCACTACTGTTATAGATGCCGAAATGTCAGAAATTAAAGAGTTGAGTTGATAAGGAGGCAGTAGATGTGCTTTTTAACCTACATAGAGGAGACTGATCTGACATTCTCTGACAAAGATTAGGATTACAATAAAAATGAAAAGTTTATTGTAATGAAATATAGTATAATAAAATAATGGATAACTTAGATGCCACCTAACCTTTTAGCCAATGGTATTATTTTTTTTTAAGTATCCAAGTTTATTCATTCTTTCAGCCAGTTAGCACCATGTGAGTTTTCAGAAATACAGTTATGAACACAACAGACCAGTTCTCGCTCCAGGAGTGGTATTTGTAAGTTTATAATAGATTTATAAGCACAAAAATCTGAGGAAAGGATAAGTGACTAAAGTGGCACACAGACTAATAATGGGGGGAAGGTGCCAAATATACAAGTATTCGCATGGTACTTGTTTCGATTGGTGCATCAGCTACTGAGGCAGAGGGCTGTGTGGGCTCTTTTGTCATCTCTCCCCAGTGGCAGGTTGAACGGTCCAAGGTTGAACTATCAAAGACTCTGAACGGTCCAAGGTTGAACTATCAAAGACTCTGGCTCTCCTGGCACCTGCTGTTTTCATTCAAAAGTTTCCTTCTCTCTCAAACAGGCCTGGATGCCCCCCGGAACCTCAGACGCATCTCCCAGACAGACAACAGCATCACACTGGAGTGGAGAAACAGCAAGGCAGCCATTGACAGCTACCGAATTAAGTATGCGCCCATCTCTGAAGGTGAACATGCTGAGATAGATGTTCCAAAGAGCCAGCAAGCCACGACCAAAACCACGCTCACAGGCAAGTTCTGCGTCCCCAGTCCATCTGGGCCCCGAGACCCTCAAAGACTGGCTACTTGCTCCCACATCCCCCATTTTTCAGTTCTCCAGGGAAATCCCTGGGTCCCAGCAAGCCCTCTCACTGGGACTGCGCTGAGTTCATTTCCATGACATCCTGGGTGCTGTGAAGTCACAGCCTTTGTGGGCCAGCTCAGCGGCGCTCTCTTGGTCCTCTTCTGGTCTGTATAGCTTCAGAGAGAATGCTCACTCGGACATTTCCCTGCAGGTCTGAGGCCAGGCACCGAATACGGAATTGGAGTGTCTGCTGTGAAGGAGGACAAGGAGAGCGACCCAGCCACCATCAACGTGGCCACAGGTGAGGAGCAACACCTGCCTGCTACCACCACACAGCTGGAAGGCAGGTTTTTGCCAGTGTGGCAGAAAACGTCAACGTTTAGAGGAGAACGTGGCTCTGGGAGCACGTGGTCCAGATGTCTAAATTCAATAGCAGCAACATTAAGTCAACAAGAGCAATGAGTGAACAGCCCTTGCCAAGGATACAGCACCGTTCAGATCGTGTAGGAAGGGACCCAAAGGACTTGCAAAGAAAAACTAGAATCAGACTTGATATGAAATCTACAGATCTTTTCAGTGGGTAACACATTCTTTTCTTTCTTTTCTTTTTTCTTTTCAAACAACCTCTGTCTATTTGAAACACTTCGGAAGAGTTTACCATCAGAAAACACCTAACGATTAAATGTCAGATCAGGCAGATTACACATGGCAGGAACAAAAGAAAACCAAAGTCGCGGCCGTCAACTAGGTGCCAATGCAAAGCTCATGACAGAGCCAGTGTTTAATTCAGCTTCCGCCTCCTGGGAAACATCTGCACTCACGCTTTGTCTCTTGTAGGTGAGGTCTCTGGGTAAGGCTGGTGAGGGGCCACGTGATTGAAGTAATTCTATTCTGGGAAATTCACACTTTAGTAAGAAAACCTTTCCCTCGGTCTCCTCACTGGCCTCTATGTTAGCTCTAACCAGTTAGGACAAAGGAGGATGGTGTGTAAAAGAACACAGATCCTGTTTGGTTGAGCTTCCACTTCAGAATTTTTTTTAAAAATGTGTAGATTCACCTCCAATTGTGAGAAATTAGACAGTAAGATCCTCTATGCTTTGCAGCCAATCTCCCTACGTGGTAACATCCTGTAGGACTGACTACAGGACAATATCACATCCAGAGCCTTGACATTGGTGTAACCTATTGACTTTTTTCAGACCTCAGCAGTTTACTTGCACTCATTTGTATGTGTGTGTGTGCGTGTCTAGTTCTTTAGAATGTTATCACCTGTGTAGATGCACATAGTCACCTTGACAGTCACAACACAGGGCAGTTCCATCACAGTCCCCACACTTCATCTCTTCATGCCCGCACTCAGGCAGCTACTAATCTGTTCTTCATCTCTGTCATTTTGCCTTTGGGAAGCGTACCAGTAAATGATGTCGGACCATGTAGACTCTTTGCACATCAACTCCGTTTCCATTTAGCATGTTGTTGCAATTAGGTACCATCGAGGTGGTTCCAACTCATAACAACCACATGCACAACACAACGAAACTCTGCCCGGTCCTGCACCATCCTCACAATTGTCCCTACGCTTGAACCCATTGTTGCGGCCAATCCCTCTCCTTGAGGGTCTTCCTCTCTCTCACTGCCCCTCCACTCTACCAAGCATGATGGCCTTCCACAGGAACCGGTCTCTCCTGACTCTGTGGGAGACAAAGTCTCGCCATCCTTGCCTCTAAAGGGAAGGAATCGGGAGCGGGAAGGGGAGGGTGGGGGATGAAAAAGCCCTCATATATGAAGGGTTGAATAGGATGTTGCTGCTGATTTCATTTCTTGAGTTGGGCTGTGTGAATTGTATAGTGTGTTTCTTGAAAAGACCATACTTCTTCCAAGAGAGATTGGTGTCCTTTGAGCAGTGTATGGCACTTTCAATGTTCTTCTCTGCACCACAATTCAACCGCGTCTATTCTTCCTCACTCGGCCTGATTCCGTGTCCAACTTCCACATTTTCCATTCATCATAATTCCCTTAAGAACCCCACTGCCAGCCAGCTGATGCCAACTTATAACCACGCCAAACGGGGGTCCCAGCCTGTGGATCTTTGTAGGAGCAAACAACCTTATCTCTGGGTTTGAGTCATTGTCCTTGTGGTTAGCAGCCAAACTCTGGGGGGACAGTCCATCCGGGGCTCTGTGTAATTCCTGCTGGATCCACTAAAATAGTGTTTGGTTTTTATCAATCCTTCATCCTTTTAATTAGTGTCATGAGTGGTATGGATATATACCATAATCCGTTTTATAATTTTTTTAAAATGGGTACTGCACAAGGAGAGTCTTTTTTGCAAAGGTAAATACGGAGACTCGGATGAATAGCTTAAAGCCATACAACCCTGCCATGGCAGAGCTAGGGTCATAGCACAGGGCCTGCTGCCTCTCTGTCCCTGAAGCAGCTTCTGAGGGGCCATCTGTCTGTCTTCCGGCCAGACATGGACGCGCCCAAGGAGCTTCAGGTGTCAGAAATGACCGAAACCAGCCTGCATCTGCTCTGGAGGAAGCCTCTGGCTGAGTTTGACCACTACCGCCTCAACTACAGCGTCCCCACCGGCCAGTCGATGGAGGTGCAGCTTCCCAGAGACACCACCTCCCATGTTCTGAGAGGCCTGCAGCCCGGGCAGCCATACACCGTCCTCCTCACTGCGGAGAAGGGCAGACGCAGGAGCAAGCCTGCTCGGGTAGTCGCGTCCACAGGTGAGTCTTGCCCCTGAGCTCCCCCCAACCTCTGTTGATTGTAAGGTTCGTGGATCCCCTCAAGCAGCTGGTCCACACAGGAGAAATCCAGACGGGAGCGAGTGCGGCTTTCTCTGCTCGCAAGCCTGCTGGACATCACTTTGAAGAGGCAAGACTTGTCTGCGGAGTGTTAACTTTTCCTTCTGTCAGTCAGTGGAGCAGCCGACCCACACTGGGCAGCAAAGCTCACGGACTCGGATTCCATCCCAATACAGGGATTCCAAGACGTAAAGCTTCACAGGAGCCCACAGCCTCCCCATTCTCTGAAGGGGTGGCTGGTGGGTTCGAACCACTAACCTTCTAGCTTGCGGCCCACTGGACAGTTGTGATTTCTAAATTTTTTTTCTCTAATAGAACTTAATACTAATGGTTTGGCTGTTTGTTTGCTTTGGTTTGTGTCCCCCCCCCCCTTAGGTTTTTGTTTTTGATTTTCAGTAATGTGAATGTGTTCCAGGTTCTCCTAAATGGTTTCTGATTTTCCTTCACGCCTTTAACCTAATAAGTGATGGTTTGTTTGTTTTGCTTCATTTGAAGATGACCAAGATGGACAATAATTGTTCAGTTATTTTCCATTCAATGTTTTTGTTCCAGGTCGTTTTCTTTCATCCCTGAGAAGATGGATGTGCATGGTCCTTTGACTCATGCAGGCCGCCCTTCTTGTTCCTCTTTTCTCTGAGTCAATTCACAGGTGAATCCCGGTTTTGCCAGGCCCACCACCTCGTCCTGACTTCCAGTGGCCCTTCTGGGCCAATCATGCAACTCCCTCACCCCCTTGCTATGTGTTTCTTCTGTGGTTAAAATGAAAGTGAAACAATTGGGTGTTGGTTCTTCCAGTGTGAAAACCACGCACAGTTCATTTTGTAAGCAAAATATTCTATCAAGGAGGATAAGTGGAAAAGATATTTTCTGGGGGTTCAGCACAGAATCGTGTCTATTTTTAATGGAGTTGGTGGACATGCGTTGAGTATCTAACTGCCTCTTGTGCATCATGTGATCTTTGAGGAGCAGCAGGCCATGTTGTAAGTGCTCTTACACCGACTCATGCACTCCAGCTCCCACTTCTTGGGGTAGATTTGATCCTCGGTCCTCAGAATATCAGCTAGAACATAATCAAAGATAAGTTGATCAGGAGAATGAGAAGCCTCCAAGAAATGTTGGCTGAGGCGTTTCTCCAGCTGAACTTTGGTAAACAGAGAAAGGCTTATAATGACAAACATAATTAAATATTCCTCAATGATTATTTTCATTAGTGAATGCCTCTGTCTGCCTATAACAAAAATTTTCAAATAACAATTCCTTCTGTAAGAGAGAAGTTGGTTTTCCCCCCCTCACAAAATAAATCTGAAGTTAGGCGGGTCAGGATGGCACGGTCCAAAGTGTAAAAGGGATTCCTTTGATGTTCATTTTTCACCCTTCTTAGTTCTTAGCTTCCATTGTCAATGTCACAGCATGGTTACTGTATTACAACCTTCACCTCTGTGATCTGGACAATATGAAACTGGAAGAACCCAAACCCAGAAAGAGCGGTCCCTGGATGATGCTTTCTAGAAACCGTGCTAACGGCTTCTCCTCAGATGCCATTGGCTACTCCTCATTGTACACGCGACTGGGAAAGATAGCTGAGCATTACGCTACCCATATAAAATGATGTTGAGTTGCTTGTAAAGAGTAGGGCAAGGCATAGTTGATAGAAAAAGAAGCCTTAGCTTGAGAGACTAGAGTGAGCTCGGGTGGGCAGCTCTATCAGTTCTGTTCATGGACTACATCGGCCCAGACCTAAGACGTCGGCAAGAGTCTACAAAGGGCCACGAATATTGTGCTACATTACTTGGGTTTTTCTTGACAGTAAGAAAGAGCCACTGAGGGCTCTGTTGTTGTTGTTGATGTTGTGTTTTTGGCAAACAAGGATTTTAGTTTCAGTTATCTTATTTTAACCAAATGACATGGAAGCAGGTCAGTCTCCCCTTTCACGTAAGTCAGGCCTGGATTTGACCATCTCCCTCCTGCCGGAGGAGCACTCTTTCTCCAAGTGATCATTTAAAGTAGTTTCTCCCCAGGCTGGTGCTTCGTGTCTCATGCAGTCATGAGAGCACGCGCCTCGAGAAGTTTCCAAAAACCTAAAGATCAAGAGCTGGCACTGCCAAAAATTCCTCCAACTCAGCTCTTCCCCCTCCATGAGCACAGAGATGGGCTGTTGAAACTCTGATTTCCCAGGCCCACTGACATTGTTCAGAGGGTGGACTCTGGTGCCCAGCTGCAAGAAAAAGACAACAGCCTTTTCATAAAGAAATGCCGAGAAACTCAGTGAGAAATGGCACAACAGAAAGACTCGGCGTCTGGAGCCGTCAGCCCACAAGACTGTCCTTTACAATTGAACTGTCTATTCAGCCTTTATGTGGCCACTCCTGGTTCCCACCTCAATTATTCTCTTCCGTGTTTTTATTCAGATTATTCCTCCTCTTTTCCTAATTCATATCCTCTCTTCATTTATTCACTGATGCCATTCATGGATTTCATTCTGCTTCCCCGACTAACAATTGCTTGGTCTGTGAAACCACTCTATTTCCATAGGCCCTCCCAAGGCCTTCACAAGTAATACGATTGTCAGGATCTGTGTAGTGAGTGCCACTGAGGTGCTCTTCTTGCTTTGAGAGGCCAATAGAAGGAGAACATGTTTTAAGTTCATGAAAATCCCCATGAATCTTCCAGCCTGTGTATGAATTACGGAGAGTGAGAGTGAGGAAAAATGTGTGCTCAACTTGTCACTTCATCAGCAAATATTGATGAAGCACCTGCTCTAAGAGCCACAGGACTCAAAGAGTGAAATCAAGTTCCTGGCTGCATGGAGCTTCCTGTCTTTGGATGATTGATAGATGATAGATAAATAGATAGGTAACTTCTTAAATGTTTCATTGTAAGTGCAAGCCATTGGAAGGCCAAGAGAAGAAAAGAGATCTTTTTAAAGGACTCTTCTAGTTGTTCCATGGGAATTAAATGGTGAAGGGGACGTGTGGGAGGAGAATGACCAGATCCGAGGCCATTAAAAACAAAAGCATTCACCACTCACCAGGGCTCCTTGTATAGTCCATATTAGGAATGACGGTAGGTCGCTTTAAGAAAGATGGCAGCACTGGAAAAAGCGGGTCCCCTGTGAGCACAATGAAGCTTCTCTTCTCCTGAAGCTGACTTGCTTTGGAGAGAGATGATGAGAGATTGCTGGATCACTCGATGGGTAGACAAAGAGATGGACAGAGAATTGCTATGGCTCATTCTGTAGCAATGGCAAAGGTAAACCTTAGCCGTGAACACTTCCAGTGGCTGGAACTGGGAGGTACCATTTTTTTATATATATATACAAATCATTTATTGGGAGCTCTTATAACAATCCATACACCCATTATATCAAGCTCATTTGTACATATGTTGTCATCATCATGTCCAAAACATTTTCTTTCTACTTGAGCCCTTGGTATCAGTTCCTCCTTTTTCCCCTCCCTCCCGCCCTCATGCATAAATTATTATTATTTTCATATCTTACACCATCCACTGTCTCCCTTCACCCACATTTCTGTTGTTCATCCCCCTCGGGGTGGGAGGGCTTACACATTGATCATTATGATCAGGTCCCCCTTTCTCCCCATTTACCCCCTCCCTTCCTCCTACCCTCATGGGAGGTAGTATCTGTTTACAGTATCTGAGTGGGACACCCATAGCGCCCTTTGTAGGTAGAGCCACAGCACCTGCTCTCTCAGCAGTACACTGATGCTCTTTATTCTCTTTGCTGATTGACCGACAATATAAAGAGGGGAAACACGAAGTGGAGGGATGAGCAAAATGTTGAGGTGGAACTATCATCACCATGTCATTGACCATTCACTGAGCACCATGACATGATGTGAGTGGACATTAGGTCTATGGCCAGCAGAAGCAAGGGGCTGAGGGCATTGTGTCCAAGCATTAGTGATCTCAAAAACCCGTTCGAAGCGAAAAGGTGATTCCTTTCTGGAAAAGATAACTTGTACTGTAGATCTCCTCCTCTCCCTATGCTTCTTTACTGTAATAGCTTCAACCTACCATCTCATAACCACCTCCTTCCTTTCCCTCTCCCTATGCATCTTTACTGTAATGGTTTCAACCTACCATCTCATAATCACCTCCTTTCTTTTTCACAGAGAAACTCTCCTCACAACTTTTGCGACCTGAAACTGCCATTTATGTCATGGGAAAAACGATCACCTTCCATGTCACAATTAGTGAGCTCAAGGGCTAAAAACACAGACAGCTAGAGTTGGGCTTACTTCACTCTAAAGTAAATTACAATGTTGAAGAAGCAGTTTTTGACAGCAGAAGAAAAATAAAAAGAGAGAGAGGGGGAAAAAGGTATGAGGAAGAATTTAAGCTCTATTTGATTGTTGTCTACATCTCTTTTATGTATGAAGACTCCTGTCATATTCAAATAGCACATGCTCCTTCGTGTAACTGTGCTTAAACCCCCACGTGAAGGATATAGTCTGATATCTGTAAGCAATGGTCCTGACCTCACAAGGACCAGACAATTGGAGGATGGCCGACTGTTGCCCAAAGTTATCTACCACTTTGAGCTTTGGAGCCTGTCTCTCCCAGAGCACAGACCTGTGTTGTTAATAACTGCTATGAGGTCGTAGGTCTAAGCTCCATCACATGAGACCGAGGGGACTTGAGGAGCCCATAGGATTCAGGCCAAGAACACAAGTAGGCAAACCTTTTCTTTAAAGGGTCAGAATATGCTCCCTAAATACTTCAGACTTTGCAGGCCGTCCGGTTTGTGGCAGTTCCACTTATCGCTGCTATGGTAGCACAGCAGCAGCCAGCAGCAGCTTCTAAATGACCGCGTGAGGCTATGTTCCAATCAAACTTTATTTTCATCAACTTTTCCTATATCATGAAACATCATTCCTGGACTTTCTTCCCCCAACCTTTGAAAAATGTCAGAAGCGCCGTGAACTTGCAGAATTTCAAAACAAGTGGCAGGACAGATTCAAACTCAGGTCTTTGTCTGCTCACCCCATTCTGGGTCACAAGAGACTTGAAGTCTAACTTTGCTAATGTGAATCAACTGGGAGGAAAGATCCCCGGAAGTTAGAAAAGTCCGGGATAAATAGCTTCTAGAACAGAAACGTTTTCCCTTTGGAAGGATGTCTCCCAATCAAATTTCTAGCTAAGATTTTCAAGTAAGAAGCCTGCTTTAATGAGCACACAGGCTCCATTGAAATGGCCAGCAGTGGGAGGCATACATTGAAAAGCAATTTGTTCTTTGAAATGAGTGAGAGGCAGTTCTTTTGTTGTTGTTGTTGTTTTTATTTATTTATTTTTTATTTTTTATATGAGAGGCAGTTCTTATACCCCTGTTTACAGCACTTATTTTCTGAGAAAACTCATCCTCCCTAGGTCATGCAAATCTACTTACACTCAGCCCTGGGTAAATTGTCCTCCTTAGCCCAGAGGGTTTGCTGATGTTGTTTTGGTTTTATTTTACTATCTTCTGTATATTCAGGAAATTGATGAAGATAGTCTTTGTGTTCTGGAGATGAATGAGTGAAGTTACATTCCATTGAAACAGAGTTTAATAACCTGGTTTTCCAAAGACCTCAGTCTTTCTTTCTGTACACTAAGGAACTATTTCCCAAAGACTCACTGCCTTCCTCAGGTCTGCCTTACTGTTTCTCAAAGACAAACTCAATATGCACAAAGACAAAATAATCACATTGGTTTTTCTGTTGGTATTTTAAGGAGGAGAGGTGCACCTCTGAGGCACCATAGGGAGAAAAACTGCCTCCAGCTTTCGTGGACGATCTGCACTGGATTCTCAGGATGAAAGTGTGTTGAGGACTGATTAACCTGATTCCATCTCTGTCATTACATAGATCAAGCCCCTGAACTAGGAAACTTCACGGTGACTGAGGTTGGCTGGGATGGCCTCAAACTCAACTGGACTACGACTGACCAGACCTATGAGCACTTTGTCATTCAGGTGCAGGAGGCCAACAAGGTGGAGGCAGCTCAGAACCTCACGGTGCCTGGCAACCTCAGGGCTGTGGACATCCCAGGCCTCAAGGCTGCCACCCCCTATAGAGTCACCATCTATGGGGTGACTCGGGGCTATCGGACACCGGTGCTTTCTGCTGAGGCCTCCACAGGTACCTCTTACTTTCTAACCCTCACTTTGTTCTTGCCAACAGGAAACTAGCCATGGATAATCAGACACAGCTATCTTTTGAACGGACTCTTTCTTCCATAGTTTACAATATTACGGTGTCTAATGATGGAAACCAGGAAATCAATTTGCACAAGGCAGGCCCACCATTCAACCTATAGTGTGTGTGACCGATGCCCACTGCAATTGTGCAAAGTCCAGCCTGTGTGAATGTAGATGCAGAGCCAATAGAGGGGGCCTTGAGCCTCATAAACAAGCTCACTCCAGTTGAGGGATATTGAGGCAATCCACTTAAAATGATGGGGTTGTGGAATCAATCCATCCCTTCATTTGCTAGTCATTTGTACAAATCCCTAATGTGATAAGAAAACAAGTATTTTACCACACCCCTCCCTCTTTGCTGTATGTCTAAAATTTAGGAAGATGCATGATGCATCTTTTTTCTGAAGAATGACGAACTTGCCAAGTGGCATGAAATGTATCTTATAAAAATAAGTGTGAGAATTCCCTGGATGTTGATGTTGAATATGACCATTAAACAAGCTCTTTGTTCTCCTCCAGGGGACATCCCCAAGTTGGGAGACGTAGCAGTGACCGCGGTGGGCTGGGACACACTCAAGCTCAACTGGAAGGCTCCAGACGGAGCCTACGAGCTCTTTTTCATTCAGGTGCAGGAGACAGACACAGAAGAAGCAGCCCGCAACCTCACAGTCCCGGGAGGACAGAGGTCCGTGGACCTCACTGGGCTCGAAGCAGACACTCATTATAGCATCACCATCCGAGGGGTCAATCGAGATTTCAGCACACCCCCCCTCTCTGTTGAAGTCTTCACAGGTATTCTGAGCTAGTTCACTAATATGCTTCATTCTCGTTGTCTTTTCTTAGGCGGGATCAGAGCTCTGTCGTGCTCTAAGCTACATTCAGCTCCCACCACATAGGGTGAATAATGATGAATCATTCTTGCTTCTTCTCACATGGCATACACCCTTCTATGGCTTTGTCCTCAAAGTAGCATGGTAGCCCATCCCATGGAAAATTCTAACCATCTTCCCGATACTGCAGTGAGAGATGACTTTTCTTTCAACACAAGTTCTGGTTATAATATATAAGAAGCTGGAATGCACAATTTTGAAGTAAAAAAAATTAAATAGCTGTGTTCGTTTTCAGAATACACCAAAGGAGTCCCCTTTGGGCCCTATTTTTATATCAAGAATGGAAGTCGTAAGCAATTCCTAAAGCTACATTTCATTCCCAAAGGCTAAATAGAAAAACCCTGGCCTCCATGACACCAATTAGAGTGCTCAATATCAGCTGTAAATCATGCATCTGTAATCAACACTAACCAGACAATTAATCTCAACCTCAGCCAAAATATGAACTCACCTGAGTCCCAGCATTCAATTACCTCTCAGGAACTCAGCTACTCTGTGTCCTTGCGCAGAGGAATTTCCAGATCGGGAACACTTCACAGTGACCAGTGTTAGCTGGGACAACCTCAGGTGAGATCTAAGTACAGCTTGTCATTCAGGTCAAGGAGACTGCCCACGCAGAAGAGGCTCACAATCTCACTGTTCGTGGCACCTTCGCCTTGTAAAACTCCTAGGTCTCAAGGCTGGTACCTCTTACACAATCACCCCACAAGGCCAAAAGTTCTAGGGATGCAATAGCTAAGTCTTTCGCAACGAGTTGAAAGGTTGGCAGTTCAAATCAACCCACTGACTCTGCAGGAGCACATCCTGCCAATCTGATGTCATAAAGGTCATAATCTTAGAGTAAGGTGACCAGATTCTAACATTGGTAAAGCGGGGCACCATTGATAAAACTCATATCCTGGCGAAATAGCCACATGGCAGCCAAAAACCGTATACCCTAGCTTGTTGTGCATTCATTCCAAAAATCGGGACTTTTTTAACACGCCGCAGGATGCAGGAAAAATTGTTAAAAATCGAGACTGTCCTGCCAAAAGCGGGACATCTGGTCACCTTATCTTAGAGGATTTATGGGAAAGTTCCACACGGGGTCACTAAAAGTCACAATTGATTCCACTACACCTAAAAACCGTGGATAAATAGAGCCATGTGGTGTAGTCTTTGCACTTCTCTATACACTCAGTATTTTGACAGCGCCATCCAAATCGCCAAGTTCAGGTATACTGTTTTTCATGTTCACATATGCCAAACAAACTTGGATCTTGGTGGAAACAACACATAGTTGCAAAAATTAGAAAGGTGATCATGGGAGTCACCTAAGGTGACCACGTTATCATTGTCATGTGCTTCCTAGATTTTCATATAAAACAAGAGCAAAAAAAGGAGCCTTCAAGACACGTGCGCTCCGAATGCTAGACGCTAATGATCTACATTTATAATTGATAACCTTTTTTTAGCAGAAGAATTCTCCTTGAAAATGATGTCTCACAAGGACCCCATGCTATGACAAATAAAAAATCAACAGTTCTTGCTGAGCCAAGAAGAAGGAAGGGTTTCACCCATGCCCCATCCCAGGTCTTCCAGAAAAGCACTAAATATATGGGAGCAGAGTTTGAAAACAGCGGCTCTAGAAGATGATATTTTCTAGACTCTTGTGCCTATTCTGCTGAATTCTAAGATAACCGAGAACAAATACATTATACCTTTTTTTGCTAGAATATCTATAAATATTTATGTTTCTAATATTACTGTATAACCAAAATATGACCTTCAGTATTTCCCATCTAAGCTTAGAGATCATCTCAAGAACAGATTTGCCCCATTGCACACTAATTACAGTAGACCAGACAAGTTGCAGGCTGAATCGAGGACATCATCATGCACGAAGAAAGGAAAAACACCTGCAAAGAGAAAGAAAGACCAGAGTAGATGTCATAAGAGCCTCAAACTTGCTCTTGATCATAAACTAGCTAAAGTGAATGGGTGAACTGATTAAGTGAATTCATTGAACAGAAATATTCAAAAGGAAGCTTGAGAAGACAGAGTAAAGCATTATAATGAAATTTGCAAAGACCTGGAATTAGAAAACCAAAAAGAAGGAATATGCTCGGCACATCTCAAGCGGAGAGGTCTGAAGGAAAGAAGAACCAAGCAAAATCTAGTTGCAATATAGAAGGAAGCTCTGCTGGTGTAGTGGGTTGTGTACTAATGCACTTTGCTGGTAAGGTCAGTGGTTTGGATGGACCACCTGCTCCATAGGAGCAAGTGAAGCCTTGGACTCCTGTAAAGATTTAAACTCTCAGAACCTAAAGGGCGGTTCTCCTTTGTTCTCTATGGTTACTATGAGGCAGAATCGAGGCCGTGACAATGGGCTTCTGAAAGGAGCAAAACATTTGATGCTACAGGGACAATCAAAAGAAGATGGAAAGAATAGAGTCACTGTGTCAAAGAGAACTGGTCTGCACTCAACCATTTCAAGAGTACCGATGGTTTTGAAGGGATAAGCGCAAGGTGTACTAAAGGCATGGATGGACACAAGACTTTAGAAATTGATGGAATGCTGACTGAAATATTTTTGAAAACTGATTTGGCACCAGAAAGACTCACAGGTGGATGTCAGGCAGTTTGGAGGACAGCAACCTGGCCAACTGACTGGAGTAGATTCATGTTTATGCCCATTCCAAAGGATGGTGACCCAAAAGAAAGTGGAAATTTTTGAATAAAGTCTATCATCAACATCACATTCAAGTAAAATTTTACTGGACATATTCCAAAAGTGGCCACATGTGCACATTGACAGGGAACTTCCAGAAATGCAATCAAGATTCAGAAGAGGGATAGTATAGCTGGTGTAAGTGGGACCTTGGATAAAAGTAGATAATATTAGAAAGATGTTTGCTTGTGTTTTATGGAGCAGGCGAAGGCATTCAACTATGTGGATCGTAGCAAATGATGAGAAGTAACATTGTGAAGGAAGGAAATTCTAGAACACTTGACTGAGCTCCTGTGGAATGTGAACATGGAACAAGAGGCAGTTGTTTGGAAAGAACCAGAGGGTGCCGCTTGGCATAAAATCAGGAAAAGTGTGGGTCAGGGTTGTATCCTTGCACCATACTTAAGCTCTCTGCTGAGCAAATCACACGAGAAGCTACATTATACGAAGAAGAGCACTGTATTAGGGCTGGAGGAAGACTTCTTAACACCCTGCAATTAGCACAACCTTTTTTTGCTGAAAGTGAGAAAGATTTGCATCACTTACTGATGAAGTGCAGCATCTAGAGCTTTCGGTCTGGATTAAAACACAATGTAAAGAGAGCAAAAATGCACACAACTGGACAATCGATGACATCATGATACATGGAGTAAAAATCAAAGCTGTCAAAGATTTCGTTTCACTTAGATGTACAGTCGGCATTCATGGAAGCAGCTGTCAAGAGATCACCTGAGTATTGCTTTGGACAATCCTGCCGCATACGACATATGCAAGGTGTCAAAGGGCAAATATGTCCCCTTGAGGACTAAGGTGTGCCTTTCCCAAGCCATAGCATGCTCGATGACTTTGCATGCACTTGAAAGCTATACAATGAATAAGGAAGGCCAGAGGGGGGGAAAGGATGCATTTGAATTAGGATGTTGGCAAAGAATATGAAAGTACCAGGTACTGCCAGAACAAACAAATCTATTTGGGAAGACATAGAGCTAGAGTGCTCCTTAGAAGCAAGGATGACAAGACTCGATCTCAGGTACTTTGGACATTTTTTCAGGCAAAACCAGTCCCAGTTGAAGGACACTATGCTTGGTAAAGTGGGGGGTCAGCTAAAAGCAGGAAGCCCTTCCACAGGATGAATTAGCACAGTGGCGTGTACGGTGCGCTCAACCATCACATGAGTTGTGAGAATGGTGCAAGACTGGGCGGGGCTTCTGAAGGACACGGGGAAGCTGAGTTGGAACAGATGCAATGGTCCTAACGAAAACATTGCCCACCTACCTCCATGGCAACCTCAGTCTTGCAGAAAGAGAGAAACTGAGAGCGTGCATGGAACCCTAAGAAGCACCCACAAAGCACACATTTTTTTTTCCATCTCCCTAATCCAAACTTTCTAACAAGTCAACCGCAATGACTACATCACATTCCCATCCTGCATTGTAAAAGAAAAACTAACGTGCCCTTCTCGGAAGCAGCTCCTGAGAAAGCATAATCGCTTGTCATTAAAAGTAGGCGTATTCATGTCACACAAATGGCCTTGCTGCATGATGTAGCCATTCTTCATTCAGACACAAAGTACCATTAGACTGAGGTGGGAGGACAAGAGCCGTCCAGCATCCGCTACCTAATTTCTGACTCCTGATCACTGAGGGAAAGATCCAGGGGAAAAACAACATACTTGGCAAAGTCTGATACTTTACAAAGCTAGGCTGATAGGAGGCGCTCAGCAATGAGGTGATCTCCGAGCTCAAGGAACGCAGTGACGAGGATGATGCTCCCCACAACTTCCAAGGGAAAACATCCAAACTATATCTTTTCAAGCTGCCACTCTGTGTCAAGAGAAATACTTGTAATGGGTTTACAAATATTTTATCGTTGGAGCATCATATAACACAATAAAATAGGTACTATTTACCTCATCAAAAGATGAGAGTGAGCTTCCGAGGAAAGCGGGTGATAGGTTCAGGTTGCACAGCTCAGACATAGGAACACTGGAATTTAACCAAGACCCAGTCTCCTCCTAAACCTGAACTTGTAACCGTGCCCTTCTTCCTGCACACTCACCCACAATGCCATGTGCCCTGAGCTGCTGGCAGCTAGACTTTTGAGTCAGAGACCTCCCTTGGCACTACATGGTCGAGAGATTACTATCTGAGGGATGATAGATACAGATACTCCCCTTTCGATCTTATAAATCCGTGAAGAAATCCAAGTCCAAGTAGCAGTGTTCAATTTATGCTCAATGCCCAGAGACCAGAAATGACAAAAACTCTTACAACCCTTCTGTCGTCCCTCTCTCTTCCCCAGAGTTGGGCTGTGGGGCATTTGGTTTCCTCGTGTTCCCTTTTGAGAACTGACCAACACCCTCTCTGTCCTTCTTCAGAGGAGATCTCCCAGCTGGGAGGGTTGACTGTGACTGAGGTTGGCTGGGATGGCCTCAAACTCAACTGGACCGCGGCTGACCAGGCCTATGAGCACTTTGTCATTCAGGTGCAGGAAGCCAACAAGGTGGAGGCAGCTCAGAACCTCACGGTGCCTGGCAACCTCAGGGCTGTGGACATCCCAGGCCTCAAGGCTGCCACCCCCTATAGAGTCACCATCTATGGGGTGACTCAGGGCTATCGGACACCGGTGCTTTCTGCTGAGGCCTCCACAGGTACCTTTCTCAATGCTCTCCCCACAAAATTCCCTGTTTCCTTTCACGAGAACGTGCAGGAGTCTGTTTCTCTCCCTAGCTGACCTCCCTTCCCGCGCCCTTCAGCTGCTGCCTGTGCATGCTCAGACACCTCCCAGAAGGCTGGGCCTTGGTCCACATTCTGATGTGTCTCAACGATGAACAAAAGAAATGTGGCTGTTCCTGGCCTCCTTGCTTCTCTCCTCCAAACTCTGCCTGGCCGGTTCTATAACGCCATCTGCCATCTCTTTGAACGGGTGGCTTTTGGTGTTGCATGAGACAGCCTGACAGTTTCAGTTCCTCAGCACTTGGTCATCAGGGAACATGGGCCCCTCCCTTTATTTGAGTTCTGGAGGAACAGGGGTTATTTACCTTAGAAAGGCCTTTGCTAGTTTACCATGGTGCTTCGCTGTCTTCAGTTCCTTCAAAAACATGGGGACCATGGCCCTGGCACGTATTTAAAATAGGCCGAGTAGAAGGAGAGAAGTGAATTAGCCTCCTCCGGGAGATTGTCTCCGATACTTGAGTCATTGTGAGAACATCAAATTAGCAAATTGTTGACCAAAAAGAGAGGGGGGAAAATCACATAATTATGACTGGAGAATGTACCAAAGAGCAAGCCATTCATCCGCAAAAGCACACAGAGCAACACTGGGCACAAGGGCTGTCCTAAGCTATGACTGTCAACAGACTGATACCCGTTTTTCCCTTCAACTCAGGAGCTGTTCCCCAGAGTGTTGGCCTTTAGATGGAACATGCCCTGCCCCAGGTTCAATGGGGCACGTTATAGTTGGTGCATCATTGCCCTTGAGTTACAAAGCATGCGTTGTTGTCCCAGGAGCCTACTAGAAAGAGCAGCTCTTCCCAACATTGTCTTCAATTGCTTATCTTCCTCTGCACTTGGACTGGTTTGAAGCTCAATAGCGGCTTTGTCGTTCTGTTTTTCATATGGCTGCCCTTGCTCCCTGTTTATATAATTGCTGCAACTGAATTTCCGTGGCCAGCCCACAGGGTCCAGTTCATGTGGCCAATCTGAGTACACATCTACATTTCAGCCTCTATCATGTCTCAACAAAGAAATGTAACTCTCAACAGACACGAATATAAAACCCAGGCAAACTCTGATAGAAATAGCCTTAAATGCCTAGAAATTGGCTGCTCTCTGGGTTTCCCCTGGGTGCATAAGGTCTTTGGACCTGGCATCCACCAACCTCCCCTTCTCAGAAGATGGAGGAATGACCTTCCATGTCGGATCTCTCCTATAGCTCTGTGACTTGGGTGTCTTTGGTCCTTTTGTCTGTGTTCTTTTCAACAATGGCAACACCATTGCTTCTAATGAGTTGGTCTGTGCAGAGGAAGCAACTTAATACCATCTGCTCTGTCTCTCTCACCAAAGTGGTTGGATGGGTCTCAGAGATTTGGTACTCTTCCTTGTTAAACAGAAGAACAAGTTTCGCAAACCCTACTTCTGCTTACCCGTTGCATGTTGCATTGTGGGTGTTAGTTCCATCTCTTTGACAAAATATTACTTCTTGGCCTAAAAGAGTCACCTGAATGTCCTGCTCTGGCCTTAGCTCTCTTGATTGGTAACGCGATACTGGTCGTTTTCATCCACATAGAAGCAGTTAAGAGAGGAGAAGCTATTTTAACTGAATGCGAAAGAGACTGGCCTTTGTTCCAAATATGAGGAAAATAACAAGGATTGCATTGACAAAACAGCCAGTTTCCTTGTAGGCACATAATCAGAAGCCTCTAGGTACCACCTTGGAAGGGTAATGGCATCAGAATTATTTAGTTTTCATAAGAATAGATGGGAGCTCTCTCAAAGCAATTGATGCCTGCAGCAGGGAGCCAAGTAATCTTGATCTCCTGGGTGCAATTCAAGCATCTAGAAGTGGCCAGCACTTTTATCTTTTGATAGCTGGCCAACATCCCTGAGGAGGGACTCCCAGAAGCATCTGGAGCTTGGGCACAGAACTTCCTGGTGAGATCCTTCAGCTTGTTTTCCCTCTGCAGGATCTCTAGGCCAGGATCCGATCATGGATAAAGGCTGCCAAGCCAAGGGATTCTGTTGTATTTTTCTTTTTACCATTCTCTTTCATTAACAAGGATGCTTCATTTCAGCAGTAACCCTGAGCTCACACTTCTTTCTATCCAGCTACGGTTCTATTAACAAACGTAACCTTAAAATATAAGTGAGATGATTAACTATGATTTTTTTTCTCCTACCTCTCCTTTTTCAGCCAAGGAACCTGAAATTGGAAATTTAAATGTTTCTGACATAACTCCCACGAGCTTCAATCTCTCCTGGACAGCTACCGATGGGGCCTTTGAGATCTTTACCGTTGAAATTATTGATTCTAATAGGTTGCTGGAGGTGGTGGAGTATAATGTTTCTGGTGCTGAACGAACCGCCCACATCCCAGGGCTGCCCCCTAGTACTGATTTTATTGTCTACCTCTCTGGACTTGCTTCCAGCATACGCACCCAAACCATCAGTGCCACCGCCACAACAGGTACATGTGCCTTCTGGGACACCCTCTCTCTCGAGTCTTCTTTGCAGGATGAAGCCACTTCTCTTGTGCGTGATGCCAGGCTGGAACGTTGTTTACCTTGTTTCTTTTTCAACAGCAGCCCATGTGGTGCCTTTCCACCAAGCCCTTTGCCTGACGTATTGGCACCCAGGACATAGCGGCATGACATGTAGTCTGGTCCAAACTGAATGGAATCAGGAGAAAAAGCCACCATAGTTAGAGTTGTCCTGGGCTTGGAACGATGGCTGAAGGAGCCAAAGAGGTCATAAAATTTAGGTTCTTTGTTAGCCTTGCATCTTTCTCATCCCAATGTCTTTGAGTGCCTAAAACCCAAATATCCCACTGAGCTCATGGAATTGGGTCTGTCGTTGTTTTATTGGTTTGTTTCCAAACTGAAAAAATAAAGAGAAAGAATAGTGATTACACATCAGATGAGTGTAGGCGGTAGCCTTGCCATTCAGACCACCCCAATTTCAAAACCATGCCTAGAAGTGGAGTGTAGCAATACTTTTTTCCCCAGAACAGTGAATGGTAGACAACAACCATCAAGGTCAACGAGTCTTGTTCTACAAAAGAGCTTGGCTGACAAGCTTAAAGTGCCCTCTCTCTAACAGGGTGGCATCTGTGAGATACCACTATAGCGTGCAGCCAGAGAGAACCTGTATGAACTCATGGAGGAGAGACTTGTCCATTCAAAACAGTCTTCTTAACATATATTCAGTGGCCAGTGGTCATTGCCCCTGTCTTCTCTTGACAAGGAAGTAAACTATCCCAAACTGAAAATAGCTATGTAAGGACGAAACACAGGGCTGTTCTCATTTGTAGTTGACAAAAAGGGTCCCCATATTTCGGGAAATCCAAAAAAGAAGATTAACATTGTAGCACTAAAATGACTTGCCATCCAGTTGCCCCTGGATAAGGGAGGGCCTATCCTTAGTCTGTTTCAAGCTATGCCTCATACCAGGCTCTCCATCATAAAGGCAGAGAGCTGGCATTATCAATGTTGCATCTCAGCCAGAACAAAGTGTGAGGAAACCGAGGCGAGAACACTTGGCCAGCATACATATTTGTTTCTCCCAACCCTTATTTGTTTTTCAGCCAAGGGCAACTTCCTTTTGGGGCTGCAGGGGTCGGGGTGGGGGGCGGTAAATCCAAAATTTTATGGATTTAGTCTTGTGTGTTTTGTTTTTGACTCTGTAATTATGTTTTCAGTTGACCCATGATTGCACATATCTGTTTCGCATCTGTTTCTGCTTTCTTCAGGAGCTGAATCTCTTCTCAGCCTCCTTGCTGTGTCCAATGTGACTTGGGAGCATGTAGCCGTCTCATGGAAGGCTGAGGAATCCTCCTTTGATAGCTCTCTTGTAGAAGTTAGGAATTGTGACCACTCCCAGGAGACAGGGATGTGCTCTGTACCTGGGGCATCTCACAGCTCGGTCATCGCCGACCTCAAAGCTTCTTCTAATTACACTGCCCATCTCCATGGGCTGATAGGTGGGTGGGCAGCGCTCTCACCCCCTGATGGTCCAAGCTGCCACAAGTGTTTCCATTAGGGATTCTTCATCCTCACAGCTCCTCCGGATCCTGGGGTCCATCAGAGTTCCTCCAGCTCCTTCTGGGATTTGGTAGCACCATCCAAATCAGGGCTGAAAGCTTTAGCATAATTTTTACCCCAAATTAAACAAGTTCAGTGTCAACCTCTTTTTCCTAAATCTCCACCCACATCTGGAGTTTCTCTGTTTGTTTACCTGGCTTGTTTGGTTGGATTTCCCAATCATTCTTTTAGCTAGTCTCGAATAGTCTTTTCCAATAACACCATTCTCATCCACCTACGGTCTTCTAAAATCAAAGGTTGCCTGTGTCATATTGAAAGAAGTGTATGCATTGTTCAAAATGACTTCCTCTTTCCTCTTTCTACCAGGATCATAAACCATGTGATGTTGGTGCCCTTGACATGCTAGCAAGAAATTCTGAAGCTTGCCCATACAACCAGGTGGCCCGACCCAGTGTCTTGTTAGGTTCTGGAGACGTTTATTTGTGCAGTTTGCCTGAAAACAGACTTCCTTTTTGACACATTCTTGGTCATGCATGATATCTGCCACATAGTGTCACAGTAGCTCTGGCACCCATCATTCTCACTCAATCTTGATGCCTGTAGTGACCATTACATTGTTAAAAAATATCTATCTGTCTGTCCTGGGATCCAATAGCATGCCTAGGAATTGTTTCAAGAATTAGCAGAGGCAGGACAAGGACGTCTCTATCTTGTAAAGGGCACTAACCCTCGTCTTGCATCTCACTTTGTTGCACGGTTTGGGAGACAAGTGGAGACCAAAGAGACCTCAAGCCCTTGGGTCTTGTTCTGCATGTCTAATGTGCTGGCACTGCCAGTTTGTCTGGTAGCATGAGAAGAGCCCTAATGTGCAGCCTTCATTCAAGAGATTGTTTCTAACGTAATATGGAGGGAAAGAACTAACAGGTATTTGTAATGGAGGGTTTTCTCTTCTGTGGGGCTGGGGTAATTTGCCAGTCTAGTAACTGCAGCATTAGCTTCTCAAAGCCACTGCAAAGTAGGAAATCCAGAGCCGTTTCATAGGACTGCACTTGGCTTCTGCATAAGATCTTTTGTCTGTAGAGGCTTGATCGCATCAAATGCTGCTGCAAAATTTTACAGTTAAAGTTGACTCAGATCAATCCATCTTGCTTCCAAATATGAGAGCTGCAGAAAAATAATACCCAAAACCTAAGAGGAAAATAAGATTTTCTTTTCTCCCCAGGCCTGAATCTTGGTACTAGCAGCTTAATCTTTCTGGGTCCTTGCCTTTTTTTAATGCAGGCTGGCTCAAACTCATCCTAATGTTACTATGATGTCTTAAATAAGTATTTTGGAAGCTACCTCCCTATATGGAAGGGAGTTTTAAGTTATTGGGGAAATGGAATTAAAAGATAATGCAATTTTCCCACATACTTTTTAAAGCAGTGGTTCTCAACCTTCCTAATATCACAACCCTTTAATACAGTTCCTCATGTTGTGGTGATCCCCCCCAACCATAAAATTATTTTTGTTGATACTTTATACCTGTAATTTTGCTACCGTTCTGAATCATAATGTAAATATCTGATAGGCAGGATGTATTTTCATTGTTACAAATTGAACATAATTAAAGCACAGTGATTAATCACAAAATCAACAAGTAATTACATATTGTGAAATATTTATTTCTAGTTACAAATTACTGAAATTTTGTCTGGAAGCATAGTGTAGCGTGGGTAACAGTCTTCATGCCGGGTACTTGTATGTGGGTGTATCAGCATGTGGGCAGACCTGCCTGGAGACGGATAAAGGAGCAGTGTCTAGGTTCCTAAAACCATCAGAAATAGTTTTCTGATGGTCTTAGGTGAAATATGTGTTTTCCGATGGTCTTAGGCGACCCCTGTGAAAGGGTCGTTCACCCCCCCAAAGGGGTCATGACCCACAGGTTTAGAACCGCTGCTTTAAAGCCTTTACATGTCAGTTGAAGTAGCTCGATGGGTCCCCCACATTAAATGAGCTGTTCTCATCACCAATTGCCTCAGCTTTACGGGAGAAAGGGAATTTGACCTCAGCAAATTCACATGTTTTTGCAAATCTTTACGGGGATAGATAATATTCCGCATTTACCTTGGAACATTTGAAAGAACTAGAGCCCTGGTGGCGTAATGTGTGCACATTGGGCTGCCAGTGGCAAGGCCAGCAGTTCAAAACCATCAGTCACTCCTTGGGAGAAAAAAGAGGTTTTCTACTCTCATGGCCTTACAGTCTCAGAAACCCATTGGAGACGGTCTACTCTGAGCAATGCGGTCACTATGGGTGGGAAGTGACTCAAGGCCAGTGAGTTTGGTTTTTGTTTTGTTTTGAGCGCCCCGTCACTAACTTTGAAAAAAGTATCCCTTACGTTAAAAATACCCTTTCCGTTAATATCATCACTCTGATGGCTTTTGTATGGGTCACTACGAGTCGGCATCAACTCAATGGCAATGAGGTATTTTTTGTCTGTTTGTTTTTTAGTAATTGCTTGCTTGTTTTTCCTCATTCATGACTTTTAAACGGTTATGCCTATACTTAAAATGCTGAGAAAGATAAGATGTTCGACTCCTATAAATGGTCACACTCCCCGAAACCCTCGGGCAGTTCTCCCTGTCCTTCAGGATCGCTGTGAGTCAGAACTGACTCCGTGACAGTGAGGTTGGCGTGTATCATTAAATCACACCAGCCCGTGCCTTAGGGAAGGCAGTAGATCCCCGAACCTTACAGGCAATGCTTACGTAGATGCAGACTAGTAGACTGATCCTCGGTGCAAATATGCGGAAGGCTCGATGCCTTCGTGTCCTATAGCTAAATTCCAGAGAAGAACTCCACTTCCTGGAATAATGTTGCTCTCATTGTCTCTGCCCACGGTCCTCCTTCTTCAGACCGAACCACAACCACAGCTGGGCAGGCGAATCTTTAGCAAGGTCCCTCCCAACACCTGCTATGCATCACAGACCACTCGAACTGGGCCTTTTGCAAAGATTGTTCTCCATGTTAGGGATTCGCACATGATGTACATGTCCCAGAAGATCACAGTCTTAGGAGATGCACAGCATGTTCGTATCACAGACTTGGTGGAGAATACTGGGTAGGACGTTAGTGTAACAGGGACCATGTGGCCTGGTGGCCCCACCAGACCCTTCTCTGCCTGTGTTGTGACAGGCAGTACTCATTCAAAGAATTCTCCCATGAGGAAAAGGGAAGATGGCACTAGGCATTCTGTAAGGAAATATAACCCAAAATATAGGCTTTGCTTCATTTGTAAAATCCTAAAAAAAGCGCAAGGCCCTTGACCAGACAGATGGACACAGTGACCGCAACAATGGGTTCGAACACACCCATTGTGAGGAGAGTGCATTGTGGGTGTTGTTTGGTCCTACTGCATACAGGGTCATTATGGGTCGGAACCAACTCAACAGCTCCTAACAGCCACAGTTGCAAATCAGGATTCTAATTGCAGGTTCTATTATTGTAAAGTAGCCTTTCACTGTCCTTCTTAGGAGGTGCTCACTACTACAGATGTATGCAATTTTTAAAGATGTCTATGCTTAGTTTTATAGGCTGTCTCTTCCAAAGTATGGAGATTCTGGATATATAGTTCTGTTCGTGGAAGCCTACGATAGGAAATGGGTCCATAAGCTTATGCTGAGCAAAGCAGTCCCACCACTATTTGCCCCGAAATAGAGTAGTCTATATTTTAAAAGTATTTTTTATACTTTATACCTAAACATTTTAAAAACATAAGAGGCCTGGTAATATAGTGGATTGATTATACATCGGACTACTTTTTGCAAGTTCAGAAGTTCAAAACCACCAGCCGCTCGGTGGAGAAAAGATGAGGCTATCCACTCCTGTAAAGAGGTACAGTCTCAGAACTCCCCAAGGACCATCTACTCTGTGCACAGGGTCCCTGAGAGTCAGAGTCGACTCAATAGCGGTAAATGAGTGAGTGAGGTTTGTGAATGGCTCGTCCTCAGACAGGCCCCTACAACAGATTAATGAAGGTGCACAGTAGGGTGACAGTTAACTCCAAAATTTCATTAAGCTTTACTTCTAACTTCACCTTGAATTGCATAAAGAAGTAGCACCCCAACCCCCACCACTTTATTTCTTTATGGGATTCTAAATTGATGGCAAAGACTGTAAAAATAAAAAAGGGTCAGTTTACAGAACTCCTTGACTGAACAAACTGAGAAGTTGCCTGAAGTCTCTTGTCTTCCACAATGGCAATTTCCAGGGATGGCCATTCCTGTGTAACTTTCACCTGGGAACTAACTCTCCCCACATGTTTCACTGCCATGAATAAGAAGAAAGGCCTGCCAATCTGCTCCCCCAAATCAGACATCAGAAATACAATGGATGCAGTTAGACACTCACACACATGGGGTGGTCACGAGGCAGAACTGGCTTGGCAGTAATTGGTTTATAATAAGTAATTAGTGCAATTAAATATTGAATTGGAAATGATGTGGTATACTGGGAGGATGAGAATTGTGAGAAGAGGCCTCTGTGGTTTCTAATCCCTTCCCACTGCGTTGTATCTACATAACCTTGGCAAGTGTCTCCACTTCTGTTCTGATGTATGACGAGAGAATAGCTGCAGGTACATCTCACAGCCTGGTCTCAGGGAAAAGGGGTAGGATGCCCTTTCCTGGCTCCCAGAGCCCTGGTGGTGCCGTCGTTAAATACTCAACTGCTAACTGAAAGGCTGGAAGTTGGCTTGACCAGGAGTCTGCAGGAGCTCTGTCGGAGAAAGAGCTCCCACGAGCATCACAGACCTGTGGAGTAGTTCTGTTCTGCCACATGGGGTCACTACGGGTCCAAATGGACTCCACAGCACCTAACAACGGGTGTGTGCTGCTACCTTCCAACAGTGTGAGGAAAGTCATGTTCTTAAAAATGGCCTACAGCCCTAGCTGGAAACAGCGGGCCTGTGCTAGCACAACTCTCCTGCTGTTCTTGAGAGGCCATCACCCGTGTTTAAAATGCAGAACTTAAAAATCGTGCTTTTTCCCTCCAGCTACGTCATGCGAATCAGAGCAGTCTCCAAAGGAAGAAAATGGTCATTTCTTAGGGGAGGGTGTGAAAGAGCAACCCTGAAATGAGAATCTCACTGTCCAGGAGGAAAGAAACGGCCACAGGTCCCAACCAGCCCTTACTTACAGGTTCTTACATGAGGTTACCCAGAAAAGAGAGGAAAGGGGAGTCAGTCCTTACAACATACACCAGCTGGTCCGTGGGAGAAAGATGAGGCTTTCTACTCCCGTGAAGAGTTCCAGTCTTGGAAACTCACAGGGGCAATTCTACCCTGGCCTATAGGGTCTCGATTAGTTGGCATTGACTCAATGGCAGTTACTAGACCCATAGGTACTGGCATGATAAACAGAGAAAAGACTGAAGTTGTGAAGAATTTCATCTTATTTGGATCCCCAATCAATACGCGTGGAAGCAGCTGTCAGGAAATCAAGTGGCACATTATATTTGGGTAAACCTGCCGCAGAAGACCCCTTTAAAGCATATTCTAATTTAAAGAGGAGGCATGTCACTTTGAGGACTAAGATACGCCTGGGCCAAACTGTAGTCTTTTCTGTTGCCTTTTATGTCTGGGAAAGTTTGAGGAGAGCGAATGAGGAAGACTTCAGAAGAATAGATGTGTCTGAATTATGGTGCTAGCGAAGGAGACTGAAAATAACCAGGAGCTGCCAAAACAAACAAACAAAGCTGTCCTGGAAGAAGAAAACCCAGAAAGCTCCTTAGAAGCAAGGACAGACTTGTTATCAGGAGTGATCAGTCAGTAGAAAAGGACATCGTGTTTGCTAAACTCGAAGGTCAGGAAAAAGAGATGGATTGCTACAATGACTGCAACAATGGGCTCAAACATAAACGATTGTGCAGACGGGAGAGGAGCAGGCAGTGCTTCATGCTGTTGTCCGTCAGGGTCTCTGTGAGTCGTCACTGACTCCATGACACGGAACAATAACAACAAGAGAGCCCAGACTTCGGGAATCCGATCCAGTGACAGCATTGTTTCAACCAAGGCATCATAAGACTGTACATTTTAAAGGAAGCATATTAGCAAAGAGGTGGGGGGGAACTGCACAAGAGGGATGATAACAAGCCTTTGATTTGTTAATTAGCTGGAATGCCCTCAATTCGATCAGAATCCGATGCTTTGGTTGGGTGGAGGTGTCAAGAGGCCAGCTATAAAGAGAGGCACCCCTTAGATAAACAAAATCCAGTAACTGGATTTTAGACCTTTGTTTCAGATAAAGAAGCCTGTTTACACAGTAGATGCGATTTCATCTTTGCCTTTGACAGTTGTGATTCTTTAGAGATCTTTATTGGCGCGGAGGTGTTGGGGGGGGGCCCCCGGTCAAAGTAAACATCAAATGTTTCCAGATAAGTACAGGAAGTTCAAGCCACAGTGAAAGTGACATTATTGCTTAGGGGATGAGAAGGTTCACTCATTCACTTGTTCGTTCAGTCACCAAACACTTTTTCTTTTCAAGCGTGCTTCTTTCCCTCCCCAGGATTAGACTGCAGGCATTAGTGTAAGGTCGCTTACCACTTTCAACATTTCTATTTAGCTGCAATGGAAATGAAAGATCTAAACTGAATGCAGAAATTCCTTGGCCCTAGAATTTTTGCCCCTAGACCCCTTCTGGTAAAAGAACAAATGAACACATTCCCCATTACAATGCTTCCTCTTACCAGAGGGAAAACACCAGACCTTCTCCACTAATCCCACTTAATCCTTTGGATCTGCTGGGGCTAATTAATTAGCTATTGGCTTGAGGTGTGGAAAGAACATGGAACACAGATTCAGAGACTCAGGTTGGATTTAGGCTAGACACTTCGTAGATGTTTGTACTTGGATATGCTTCACTTGACCTCTTTGTCTCCTTACCGGCTGTTGGTGGGGAGGGTCTGGGAGGAAAGCAGTATCTTCTATCTTCTGGAATCATTGTGAGGGTTAAATAAGCTAATGAATGGGAAGCCTTGTCAACTATGAAGTGTTGAGTTAAAACTTAGCTGGTATAAACTCACTCTTGTAGGAATCCCCAGGGTGTGAAAGAGTTCCTGGCACCTGAAAAATAGGAGACCCTAGGTGAATGAATGAATGAATGAATGAATGATGGGGTTTACTGAAGATGTAGATATGCTCCTGTTTCCTAACTTGATCTATGAAAATCAGCAGTCAAAGAATTAATGAATCTTAGTTTCCACACCGTACAGGATTGATTCGCGTGTACATCAGAAATGCCTATCCCCTTTCCTTTCTGCACCCCAACTTGTGAAGCTGTGCGTGATTCATTGGCCTATGTGGCTTGATTCAAAATGGAAACTAGAAGTGGAATTGAAACATATGGAGGTGTCAACAAAGTATAATTGGAACAGAATGATTTGCTTTGAGAGCAGAAAGGGTGGGCAGTAGAGGAAGGGGTCAAAACCCAGCCCCAGAGCTCTTATTTGCATGTGGCCCTGAAAGTCAGACCTGGCTACAAACCAGGCTCTCGCATAGTTCAGCTCTGTGACTTCGGCCAAGCGACCTTTCTGAAGTTCAATTTTCTCCTCTGTAAAATGAGATAACCTGCCTCCTAGCCTCACTGTGACAATCACCGAAGATCATGCCATTTGTTATCCAACAAGCTTTGACTGAATATTCAGTGGCTAAGCATGTAACCCACTGAATGATGGATCGGACATAATGTTCTCGAAGACTTGTACTCTCCTGGCGGAGCCAGTGCTGCTAACTTGACTTCTTCTCACCCCTTCCCCTTCTTTCAGAGGCCCCGCCCCTTCTGGAAAACCTAACCATTTCCGACATTAATCCCTACGGGTTCACAGTTTCCTGGATGGCAGCGGAGAATGCCTTTGACAGCTTCCTAGTCAAGGTGGTGGATTCTGGGAAGCTGCTGGACCCCCAGGAATTCACACTGTCAGGAGCCCAGAGGAAGCTGGAGCTTAGAGGCCTCATAACCGGCATTGGCTATGAGGTTATAGTCTCTGGCTTCACCCAAGGGCACCAATCCAATCCCTTGAGGGCTGAGATTGTTACAGGTATTTCATTTCAAGTGAGCCATTCTCTCCTCTGCCCAGTCCCCTTCCACATCATCCATCTACCAGATCATCATGGTTTTAACATCCTTGTCCATAGCCCCTGTTTAATCCAGAGATGTGGCCTCATTGTTCATGTTCCATCCACACTGTCCTTGTCTTATCTAATGAGCTGTCCCTTGCCCCTTAGCTAATAAGCACTCCCCCTCTCCCATCTCAAACATGAGAAGGTCGAAATGTTTCCACTCAATGTCCTAACTCCTTTAGAAGGTTCGCGTGTCTTGTCCACAGCTTGTGTGTGCTTGCTCCTTGTCCATCTATCCTGTGCTCATCCTGGCTGGCCTCCAGCTGCATTTCAGCCTTCTCAGAAGAAATATACGGGAAAGTATATTTCAAAAATGTATTGAAAGCATCTGAATGTGTCAGCGATGTTCTTGACAAACACATCAGGGGCTTGTCGCCAGAATACCAAATGTGGACTCACTATTTTGGAAAATACTAGCACCCAAGAGATTCTTTACACAGACTAAATCCATAATTTTCTTAAGACTAATAATGATTTAAGAACTATAATATTAACAACCTTAAAAGCAAAAATGCTGTGCTTCCCAGAGTCTGTCGAGAGATTACTAGCTCCATAGAAGGTTCAAAGGTCCTACTTTCTAAATAGGTTCCATTTTCAAATAAGTTTTAGAAATACTGAGTTAAACCAAGTTCAGTGGGACTCGTGACCACATGCCTCTTGAGAGCACCCTAAGGTGCCTTGGATTTCTGTAAGAGGGACTTATTCGGGCTGTCTTTCTCAAACTGCCCTGACAATGGCCACCTTTTCAGAATGAGGAAATCATTTGCTCTGAGCACACTCTGGGAAACTCAGCTCTAAATTGAGTTGACCTTGAGCTTTGTCTCGTTAAGGCAATCTGAGTCCAAACCTTGGGTCTCGCCTATGTAGCACAAGAGATGACACGCCTCAGGTGTACACTTACCACATGGTTATGGAAAGGAGAAAGGGGGGTGAAGTCAACTAGTAGAACCTCCTTGAGTCAAACAGCTCCAAGAACAAAGCAAAAGGACCTTTGGATGTTAAGAGCTGTTTTGCTCGGGCTCAAGGGAAGTATAATCAGCAGAATCATCGTGGGTAGCTCTACAGATCATTCATGCTGGTTTATTTGTCTTTTCAAAAAGAAAAAGAAGGTCTCAGAGCATGGGCACTCTGCCACTGGAAGACAGAAAGCAAATGTAAACAAGTTACTGACTTTGAACTTGTTTAATAATGCATGACAGGGGCCAGGGCTGAGTCCAGATGTGGATTTACAGAATTGCTTTTAGACAAAACTCACATAGGCAAGCAAGCACTTGGCTTGTATCGAATGTGTCAACCCATCTTTCTCCTCTCCAGTCCCCTAGGCTTATTAATGTTGAACCATTTTATTTTCGGAATCTTAGGACAGTTCTGTCTCTTCGAGTCTGGGCATCACTGCAGACTGATGCCCCCACTGGGCAGGAGCGTGTGTTAGCTGGTCAATGACGTTCTCTCTCCTCCTTTTCCTACCATTTTCTCCCCCTTCTAGAAGCCGAGCCAGAAGTTGACAACCTTCTGGTTTCAGACGCCACCCCAGACGGTTTCCGTCTGTCCTGGACAGCTGATGATGGAGTCTTCGACAGTTTTGTCCTCAAAATCAGAGATACCAAAAAGGAATCTGAGCCTCAGGAAATAACCCTTCTTGCCCCTGAACGTACCAGAGATATCACAGGTCTCAAAGAGGCCACAGAATATGAAATTGAGCTCTATGGAATAAGCAGTGGAAGGCGATCCCAACCAGTCAGTGCTATAGCAACCACAGGTACTGTAAATAAACAGGAGTAAACAGAGAAAAAAGTCTTGACTTCTGGGTTTCCTTCTTAAAGGATCCAGACAACCTGGTGTCATGGCCTAGCCCTTTCAGTCATATACTGTGTGGCCTTGGACAGGGCGGTCCAGTCTTTGGGCGGAAAGAGGATGGTGCCGTTTAATTGATCAGGTTGTGAGGCCAAATGAGATCCTTCGTGTGGAGCACAGAGCCTAGGCCTGCCCACAGCAAGGGACTCAGGACTCGCAAATGCCAGTCACTTGCATTTTCACTGTTTGCAGTAATGTCGTTAAAATCATCCCATCATTTTTATTCTAAAGATACTTCCTTCAGCCTATTGTCTCATTGTCTTTTATCCCAAGGTCTTCATCCTTGCTCATTGGTCAAACGCTCTATCCACAAGCTGCGGGGAATGAAGGGGCATGGCAGCTCCCCCCACCCCCCCACCCCACCCCCAAGCTTGCACTGAGGAAACACTATGTGTGACTGAGCAGTCCTGTGACCAGGGAAGAAAAGGGCCGGAAGCTGGTGAAGTTCAGGGGCTACACATGTGCCTGGCTGCTAAGGCTCATGAAGCTCACCGGTGCTATTGATCGCATAACAACTCTAAAGGTCACCTGTTGGGAAAAAGAAAAGAAGAAAGTGTCGCCCTGCCTTTCCCATTCAGGCTGCCTCAACTCCCTACTCAGTCCTGATTCATCTGCTCAAGAGACACCCCAGTACTGTAGCGCATGATGAATTGAGCTGCTAACTGCATAGTCAAGGATTCTAACCCACTGTCGCTCTCCATGGAAGATGGATGAGGCCCTCGGCTCCCATAAAGATTTCAAGTGACGGGACCAAAGGATCAGTTCTCCTCCTGTGAATTAGAATGGACTCACTGGCAGTGGCTTTGGCGTGGGTGTTAGAAAGCAGGCAGCACAGAGTCACAGTGGTCTTGTGCCCGGGGCCTGATTCAGCAAGTTTGCAGAGAGGATCCTGGACCACCCTCTTCATCCTGAACCCAGCCTCTTTGTTCTCCAAGCCTCTGGCTCTGACTTACACACGTCCCCCAAGAAGCCTAAAGATGACAACCGCTAGCTGTAGAGCACACACGTGCTGTCACTTAGAGCAAGGTCACCCCACAGCCATGCACCTCTCACAGATGCACCAATGGGGACCCAAAGGACCAAAGAGTCTGCAGCTCTCAAGGCCAGAAGTGGTGCTCACACCCAGGTCAAATAACTCCAAAATCCCTGCTCTGAAACCCTGCGGGTTACCACAGATGTTCACTTAGGTCAGCATAGGACCTGCCACAAAGCAAATGTTCAATAGCAAACATGTTGAAAGGGGAAATACATTTTTTAATGGCCTCCTAATAAGATGCATGTGATCCAAGTTTTGAGGTTCCTGGGTATGGCGAACGGATTGTGCTCAGCTGCTAGCTGCAAGGTTGGCAGTTTGAACTCACCCAGCCAGGCCACAAAAGGAGGGCCTGGCAATCTGCTTCCACCAAGACTGCAGTCACAAAACACACACACACACACACACACACACACACACACACATTCTACTCTGTCAACACGCATTGGAATGGACTTGAGATGAGGCTTTGGTTGTGGGGGGAGGGGACTTTTTTACTCCAGATTTCAAGAATCAGCTCTTTATGTGGAGATCAAATAGCAGCCCACTTGGAAATGCCTTGAGAATTTGTAACAATTCCAGATGTTTCCTTAGGGTCTTATTGGAAACCAGGAGTCTCCTCGGGAAGAGCGATGTGAACCATGGCCTTGTGTGCATCTCCCCACATTTACAGTGGCTGTGGGTTAGTGGTTCTGTGAGGCACCATTTTCAATGGTCAGTTGTCCTTCTACCCTGCTGTGACAGCACAGTCCTGGGGCTCCTGTGCCTGGCGATGGGGCCTTTGAGTCTTCCACATGGAGGAAGGCCTGCTGCATAAGCAATAGCAGACATACCCGCTAACTCAACCCCAGAGTGTCAGCATTCACAAGCCTGGTCCTAGAGATGAGAGCCATGGTCTTAGCTTACACCTCCTCTTCCAAGCTGCGTCGACCCTGAAATTAGAGTGGAAGTCAGAGTGGCCCCACTAGCAGAAGAGGGCTCTCAGTTCTTGTACTTACACACCTCACCGGTGTGTCCTTTCTCAGCTGGCTTTATCTGCATCTTTCCTGGGCACTGCCGGTAGAAGAAAGTGTGGCATGAGAAAGCAGGGCCGTTGGGTTGTAGAATTCATAGTGAGGGATATGCTGCACTAGCGCTTTTACTTCTACCATGTCACTGAGTGCCACCACATCCCTGCAGGTGGGAACCTCTTGCCCCACTGGACAGATGTGCCAACCAGAACTCTCAGAAGTGAAGGGGCCAGGGTGAGGCTGTTCAGCATCCCTTGTATTTGGACAATGAAGATCTTCCAAGCGCCAGAGGTCTGTCATTTCCACGTTTTTCAAAAAAAAAAAAATAGCACAAATGCAGCACCCACTGTGTCTGGGGCTGGCTACCGGGTCACAGAAGAAGGCCATCAGAGAAGATGTCTTGGATGCGAGAAGAAGCCTCCCCAAAGTGCACTGTGGGCTTTAGAACCTAATGATCCACGTGGGCTGGAGAGGGAAAACGATGAGGAAGTGAGCTCCCTGGAGTCTTGAAAAGTGTTTCCTGAATTCTCTTGTTAGGTCTGGTCAGCTGAAGAAGGCAAGAATCTAAGCCAAAAGTTACGCAGCGAGGAGCCAAAGGAAACTGGGTTTGAGGGGAGGTCATTAGAGAGCGGGCACTGCCTCCCGGGCATAGCTTTCTCACAGGTAGACCCAGTGTTTGTTGCGTATTTGCTTTAGTAAACATCCCTGAGGTTGTGTCCCTGGCTCAGGACCTCCTTCCAATTCTGGGAAGGGGGTTGTTCAGGTTAATTTCCATGTCAATGTTGCCTTCAGGATCTGAAGGCTGTCTTTCACACTGCCATCCTGCCCGGAGATCCTGAAAGGTCCCATCTCAAGAAAATCCGCAGGGGAACTGATTTTGTTTGCTCTTCTGTAAAGTACTTCCAACCACATCTTCACACAAGTTTCTCTCTGAGAATTAAGTAAAGAAGAACATATGTGAAGAGATCTTAGCGAATTTTCAAGGACTTTGAAGTTGTAATTCTTGGCATCATTTCATGAAAGGAACTAAAGATATGAAAATGAGCTAAAAATCAAGAATAAAAGGAGGGCTTATTTCGACCTGTGAAACTGCTCTCCCTCACTTCCTTAGAACTCAGTTATGGTGCTCAGTTTACCTTGTCATGAAACTTAACTGCTCCTCTGCAGCATTCATCCGTGTACCTGAATGAAGTCCTTTGTTTCTGTCAAGTCACAGCTTGACCATGAGTCACACATTCTCCATTCTAAGGGCCTGGCTCAGATACAAATTCTAGAGTCTAACTTTTCCTGGATAAGAGTTCCAGGACAAATAATCGATGGGCAAGATCATTCAACACTTTGGGGTTTGTCTTGTGCTTTCTCCTTGACAGCCATGGGCTCCCCGAAGGAAATCGTTTTCTCAGACATCACTGAAGACTCAGCCACCGTCAGCTGGATGGCCCCCACTGCCCAGGTGGAGAGTTTTCGGGTTACCTACGTGCCCATTGTTGGAGGTAAGGGATTTGGAGGTGGGGAGCAGCCTGGAGGGTTGGTTTGGGTGGATTAGCAGAACAAGGCTGAGGGCTCCTATCCTCCCAAACATCACAGCCAAAGAAAATGACTTCCTTATTTCTGAGATCCTTTGCAAAGACCCCATTTGTTAAATGCCCTGAGATCTTTAGGAGTTCAGATGGTGCAATGGTTAAGTGTTCAGCTGCTAAAGGAAAGGTCAGTGGTTCAAACCCACCAGTGACTCCACAGGATAGAGAGGTGATGGTCTGCTTCCAGCAGGATGTACGGCCTTGGAAAGCCTGCCAGGCGGTTCCACTCAGTCCTATCGAGTTACTAGGAGTAGAATTTGACTTGACTGAAATGAGGGTTTTTTGGTTTTTTGGCTTTCTATGAGATCCTTGGAAGAAATGACTTCATGAAGCTGAGTCTAGTCTTACCCAGTGTCTTTAATTCAATTCTGAATCATAGTGAGCCCATCGAGTAGAACTGCCCCCATAAAGTTTCCAAGGCTGGAAATCTTGAATAAATCCTCAGCACTCACCTATTTATTAGCAACTGAATGCTTCACCATGGTGTTGCCAGGGCTGCTCCTGAGAGGAGTCCTGAGCAGTGCCCACAGGAGCCTTGCTCTCTTCCTGGCTGTCCATTCATGGCTGGCACCTCTGGTTCTGGTGCCACACTTCAATTGGAGTTCCCCAAGACTGTGCTGCAGAAGGAACAGGCTTAGAGCCATGGGCTGTTGAAGACTTCAGAGACAAAAGATGCCAGGGCCATGGCATTTGTCTTTGAATTTCTGAGGTGTGGTGCGTAGGCTCCCTGTGCTACAGTAGAAACCACAGGGAAGACGTACAACCCATCTGTCTCAAGACAGACAGTGAGCTCCTTGTCATTGAAGTGTCTAAAGAGAGCATGATGGGAAAACTCCCCGGAAGAATGCCACAGCATCTCTGAAGGAAGTTTGACCAATTGAAGTACAAGTTCTTTGGCAGCCCTGAAATTCTCATAAGAACTGACTTCATTAACGATAGAAGCACAAGTTGGCGAGGACCATCATGCTTTCTCCAAGAACGGAAACCCTGCTAGTAACAGGAACTTCCCAGGGGCGACTCTAGATTCTTCTAAACAAGGACTGTGGGGTTGATAGATCAGATTTGCATTACATAGGGATGCATCCAGTATTCTTTGTGGAAAAAATAAATCAAGGAAGTCAGATTTGCACAACACGCCAACTCTCTACTGAACGGAAACTTGCCATTTTTAGTATATTGTGACTTCATGGTTTTTGCCTCCCCTGGCTTCATTTTTGGCATCTGCGCCATTGGAAAAAGCATTATGCCCTGCCAGAGGGTAGGAGTAAATGAGAAGGCACAAAAATGATATTGGATAAAGATACACCATCTTGTGGGGGGGGGGCCCAGTGGCTAAGCTTCACCGAGTCTCACCATTTTGCGACCTGGCTTCCCCTGTGTTCCAGGTACACCCTCTGTGGTCACTGTGGGTGGAACCCAGACTGGAACCCACCTGGTGAAACTCATCCCCGGAATGGAGTACCTGGTCAGTGTCATCGCCATGAAGGGCTTTGAGGAAAGTGAACCCGTGTCTGGATCACTCACGACAGGTTCGGTTCGGTTCGATTTGCATGTTGTAGAAGCCACTTCTGCATGCTGGCTGTGCAGTCCCCCAACTTCAGCATTTTTGCTCAAGATTCAGCAGCTGGAAATAAGTTTTTATTTGTGAATCCCTGCTAGATTGGAATAGGACATCGGCTTCCTGTCTGGTCCCCTCCCTGGTCTTTAATAGCTGGATAACCTAGGGACATCCTGAACCTCCCTAGGCCTCAGGTTTCTCAGTGATTGTGGATGAAAGACCCCAAGTTTGGAAGTCATTCTGACCTGGAATGAAATTCCAACTCTACCACCGCTTACCGACATGAGCTCTGAGCTGTCAGTCAGTTCCTTAGGGGCCAGTCTCTTGTCTATAAAATAAGTATAACCCCATCTCCCCCACAGAAGGGAATCACACAAAACTACCTATGGAAAGCATCCGTAAATGGACTTTATGGCGCCTATGCGTCCATTACCCCCTGCCCTTCTTTGTCTAATGCTGGAAGCCATTGTGAGGACCCCTTTACCAGGTGCTTGCTTCATGTCATGGTTATAGCTTTCAAGCAGTTCCTCTCTATTTGGCTGCTACCATCTTCCAGGCAGGAGCCCTGGTGGCATAGTGGGCTCTGCAGTCAACTGTTGCAAACCACCAGCCCATCCAAGGGAGGAACTAAGACTTTGTTCCTGTAGAACTCTAGCCTTAGCAACCCATGGGGATGGTTCCACTCTCACCTGGAGGGTGGCTCTGAGTTGGAATTGATGTGCTGCCTGTGAGTTCAGCTTGGAGTTTGGTCTTCCAGGCACGGCTGATAAGCCCTCAGATTTAATTTCCATGATTATTCCCATTCCCATTTCACAGAGGAAATAACCGAGATCCAAGAAAGCAAATGCTTCCAGCCAGCCCACAAAGCAAATCAATGCTGGAGTAGATGGATTTTATATTAAACCCTGTCCTCTTCTGAAATAAAGGCTCATTTCCTATTTCAATTTGGTTTGTAGGGCACACTATAAAGACAGAGAAATAATGAATTGCATTGAAGGAGAATGAAGTGGAAAATGTCTCTTTAGACAGCCGGTTACAGCTAAGTCTCCAAACAATTTACCCTTTGATATAGGAGCAATTACCCAGTTCATTCCATTATAGGGATCCAAAGAATGAGCCTCATAGGAAATTTTAAAAATATCCTTGTAGCCTAAAAAGACTGGATATGCAATCCAGTCATCCCATCAGGATCCAGAAGCCCATCCACCCTGCCACACAAACCCTTATTCCCCCCCACCCCCC